GAACTTTAATTTTATCAATATTTACACAAAGGGAAATTCGAAGCCTAGGAAAGAGGAGTTCTTTTTTGGTTAATCTGCTCTCCTCTTCCCAATTTTGCCATTTGAGTAGGGGCTCCAGGGCAAGGTGAGGGAGGGCCTTACTGCAAATGAAGTCCTAAGTTTTTGCATATCTGAATAAGTGTGTTTATATTTCCACACATTCCACATGCCCTTTTCTTCTACTTGTTATTTGTCAGGGAGGTGATGAAGTAGCTAATGGATGATGGAGCATGTAGAAGATCCTTATGAAGAAAATTAGACAAGTGTTTAGTAAGTGGATAGATGTAACATGTTTCTGAATGGGAAGACTTGAATGTTGGCATTTGTTAGCTTATCTATAAACTTAATGTGTTTTCCACAAAATTCCAACAGATGTCCATCAATAAGGAAATGACTACATAAGTTGTGGTACAACTATATTGTAGGATATACAAACAAAACTAAACCTGTATGTTTGAAATGGAAATATCTATAGGACACATGGAGAAGAAAATGTGCAAATACAGCTATAGGAATACCTAAATATATAAAGACAGTATTAACATCCCTACAGGGAGAAATAGAAGTACAATAATAGTAGGAGACTTCAGTACCTATTGTGATCAATGAATAGATAATCCAGACAAAATATCAATAAGGAAACAATGACTTTACGATATTTTTAAGTATATTTATTTTGAGAGAGAGGATATGAGCAGGGGAGGGGCAGAGAATCCCAAGCAGGTCTCTGCGCTACCAACAGAGAGCCCAATGCAGGGCTCAATCTCACAAATCGTGAGATCATGTCCTGAGCCAAAATTAAGAGTCTGATGCTTTGCAAACTGAGCCACCCAGGCACCCCAGGAAGCATTGACTATAACATTAGACCAAATGGACTTACCAAGCATATACAGGACAGGACATTCTATCTAAAAGTAACAGAACACATTCTTAAGCACACAGGGAACATTCTCCAGGGTAGATCATATGTTACACCACAAAATAAGTCTTAATAAATTTGAGATTGAAATAAGTATCTTTTCCGACCATAATATGGTGTGAAACTAAAAATCGGTTACAAAAGAGAACTGGGAAATCAAGTATATGGAGATTGCTACCAAACAACTAGTTTCAAAGAAGAAATAAATTCTAAAGTATCTTGAGACAAATGAAAACGGGAATACAACATACAAAAATTTATGGGATGCAGCAAAAACAGGTTTGGTTTTTTTTTTTTAATGTTTATTTTTGAACAAGAGCGTGAGCAGGAGAGGGGCAGAGAGAGGGAGACAGATCCCAAGCAGGCTCCACACTGTCAGTTCAGACCCCTACGTGGAACTTGAACTCATGAACTGTGAGATCATGACCTGAGCCAAAAACAGGGGTCCAGTGCTTAATCAACTGAGCCACCCAAGCACCCCAGCAAAAGCAGTTCTTGGAGGGAACTTTTTAAGTTTTATTTATATAAGTAATCTCTACACCCAATGTGGGGCTTGAACTCATGACCCCGAAATCAAAAGTGGCCCGTACTTCCAGTTGAGCCAGCCAGGTGCTCCCTAAGAGGGAACTTTAAAGGGATAAATAGCTACATTAAGAAACAAACATCTCAGGAAAAACAAGCTAACTTTAGGGGCACCTGGGTGGCTCAATAGTTTAAGTGTCTGACTCTTGATTTGGGCCCAAGTCATGATCTCACGGTTAGTGAGTTTGAGCTTCACATAGGGCTCCACGCTGACAGTGTGGAGCCTGCTTGGGATTCTTTCTCCCTTGCTGCTCACATGTGCTCTCTCAAAAAACAAAAAAAGGAAAACCTAACTTTACATCTCAAAGAACTAGAAAAGAACAAAGGTTAGTAGAAGGAAGAAAATAACAGAGGACATAAAATAAAGACTAAAATGACAATAGAAAAAAAGCTCAAAGAAACAGCTGGTTTTTTGAAAAGAGAAAAAAATGACAAACCTTTAACTAGACTCACCAAGAAAAAAAGAGGACTTCAAATCCAAAGGAAAGAGGTGACGTTACCACAGATACCACAGAAATACAAAGCATCATAAGAGACTACTATGAGCAATTGTACACATGTAGAACAACCTAGAAGAAATAAATTCCTAGAAATATACAACTTACCAAGACTGAGTCATAAAGAAAAAGTCTGAACAGATCAATTACTAGTAAGGGATCTGAATCAATAATCAAAAACCTCCCAACAAACAAAAGTCCAGGATTAAATGGCTTCAAGGATGAATTCTACCAACCATTTAAAGAAGATTAATACCAACCCTCCAATTCTTCCAAAAAATAGAAGAGGAGGGAACACTTATAAACTTGTTTTATAAGGCCAGCATTAACCTAATACCAATATCAAAGTCACTAAAAGAAAAAATTATAGGCCAATGTCTCTTATGAATATTGATATGAAAATCTTTAATATTAGTATACCAAATTCAACAATACATTAAAAGGATCATACACCATGATCAACTGGGATTTGTTCCAGGGATGCAAGGATAGTTCAACACCTGCAAATCAATGTGATATACCACATTAACAAAATGAAGGACAAAAATCATATGATCACCTCAGTAGATGTAGAAAAAAAAAAAACATTTGACAAAATTCAACATCCATTTGACTAAAACCCAACAAAAGTGGGTACAAAGGGAACATACCTCAACAAATAGAGACCATATACAGCAAGCCCACAGGTAACATCATACTCAAATGGTGAGAAGCTGGAAGCTTTTCCTCTAATGTCAGCAACAAGACAAGAATGTATACTTTCACCATTTTTATTCAATAACAGTATTAGAAGCTTTGGCCAGAGCAATTAGTCAAGAAAAAGAAACAAAAGGCATCCAAATCAGAAAGAAAAGTATAAAACTGTCACTATTCGCAGATGATCTATCATATATAGAAAACTAAAGACTCCACCAAAAAACTGTTGGAAGGAATCCACAAATGCAGCAAACTTGCAGGATACAAAATCAATATACAAAAATGTGTTGCATTTCTATACGCTAATAATGAGCTATCAGAAAGAGAAATTAAGACAACAATCTACTTACAATTGTATCAAATGCAATACCTAGATTAAAATACCTAGGGAATAAATATAATCAGGGATGTGTACACTGACAACCATAAGACACTGATGAAGTAAATTGAAGAAGATACAAATAAATGGGAAGATATTCCACGCTCATGAATTGGAAGAATTAACATTGTTAAAATGTCCATACTACCCAAAGCAATCTATGGATTTAATGTAATCCCTATCAAAATTCCAATGGCATTTTCCATAGAAATAGAACGAACAATTCTAAAATGTGTGTGCAACCACAAAAGGCCCTGAATAGCTAAAGCAATCTTGAGGGAAAAACAAAGCCCAAGGTTTCACACTCCCTGATTTCAGACTATATTATAAAGCTGTAGCAAGCAAAATAGTATGGCATTGGTATAAAAACAGACACATAGATCAATGGAACAAAATAGCCCAGAAATAAACCACACATATATGATATAACATGAATAGCTAACTACCCCCCTTTAAGCAGAAAAATGAAAAATTGACAAGGAGATAATATTTTCATTTTTCAAAGTGTCAAAAATGTGAAGTTTTATGACAGGTATTAGCAAAACACAGATTTAGGCACACCTCTAAACTTTAGGTAGGATTTAAATTTGATGAAGCCTAGGGGTGCCTGGGTGGCGCAGTCGGTTAGGCGTCTGACTTCAGCCAGGTCACGATCTCACGGTCCGTGAGTTCGAGCCCCGTGTCAGGCTCTGGGCTGATGGCTCAGAGCCTGGAGCCTGTTTCCGATTCTGTGTCTCCCTCTCTCTCTGCCCCTCCCCCGTTCATGCTCTGTCTCTCTCTGTCCCAAAAATAAATAAACGTTGAAAAAAAAATTTTTTTAAATAAATAAATAAATAAATTTGATGAAGCCTATTTTGGATAACTATTTGGGTTTCAATCAAAATTCTAAATAGTAGTATAACACTGAGTCAGGAACTTAATTTCCAAGACTCTGTCTTAAAGAAATGGTCATACGTGTAGACAAAGATTCATTTACAACACATTACAATTAAGAACCAACCAGTACTCAATATAGGAGAGGTTCAATTAGGGTACATCCATATGGGGAGTACTATGCATCTGTTAAAAAGAAGCGGGTCTATATTTTCTGATATAGACAGAACTGTGAGAACTGTTAAATGGAAAAAAGAAATCTGAGGAACAATACATAAGGTATAATCCCATATATGTTAAATTATATGTTTAAAATGTTATACACTTATGTATGTTGGCATTTGTGTATATGTAGTGTTCGTTGAGTTGCACTGTTCCAAACACACTGAAGAATGATCTCTTTTAATTCTCACAATTTATCTACTCATCATTGTTACCAATGAGGAAACAGAGGCACAGAGAAATTAAGTAACTTTCACAAGATTTAAACCTGCATAACCATTCAGCTACATAAAAAAAGAAAACTGGAAGGAAACACAGTGTTTAGAGTGCTTACCCAAGGAAGGTGAGGGGAGTTGGGGAAGAGGAATTTGCAGGTTTGTCTTTTATGTTTTTACATTTGAATCTTTTACACAATGTGTTCATCATTTACTTATATATTTTTAAGGGGGAAAAAGGTTTGGCAAGGGATGCAATCTTTGTTCTGTTATGTAAATGAGTTTTTTGTGTGTAAACAAATTTTAAAATAATTTGTAATTAATAAAAAAAACACGGAGAACTTTTTCCTTCAGACACTTTCCAGGTTCATCTGCTTAAATTGTGCGAAATGTTTGAGGTCTTTGTGTTATCTCTTATGGTCTTTAAATTTTTGATATTACACTGGTAAGCCATGTACTGATTTCATTATCACAGATAACGCAGTTAAATATTAACTATTAATAATCAATTAGCATTTTACAACCTGGCTGTTGTTATAAAGTAACGATTCCATGTACTTCCTAACAGGTCCTTGAAAATGGAGCTGGCCTGGAATTCAGTCTTTATTGTCCTCCTGAGCTTTTCGTGCTGGGGGTTAGATTGGGAATCTGATAGAAAATTCATTTCAGCTGCTGGTCCTCTCACCAATGACTTGCTATACAACCTGAGTGATCCACTGGGAAACCAGCGTTCTAATTTTGCAGCAGAGGACAGAAGCATTTATGTTTGTCGCCAACCACTGCCCGCTTTCCTGCCGAAGTTCTTTAATAGTGTTCGTGCCAGTAAGATCACCCATTACAAAGTATTTCTTCCATGGGCACAACTTCTCCCAACAGGAAGCTCCAAGAACCCAGACAGCAAAACAGTGCAGTGCTACCGGCAACTCCTTGAGACTCTCAAGACCGCACAGCTTCAGCCCCTGGTCGTTCTGCATCACCAGACCCTTCCTGCCAGCACCGTCCAGAGAAGAGAAGTCTTTGCTGATCTCTTTGCGGACTATGCCACATTCGCCTTCCACTCGTTTGGGGACCTGGTTAAGATCTGGTTCACGTTTAGTGACTTGGAGGAGGTGATAAAAGAGTTTCCACACCAGGAATCAAGACCTTCACATCTCCAGACCCTCACTGATGCCCACAGAAAAGCCTATGAGATTTACCATGAAAAATATGCTTCTCAAGGTAAGTACACACAACCCTGATGGCTGACCCACCTTCTCCCTTCCTCCTTAAAGCAGGACTTGGCATTTCTTCCTCTTCAGTAGTCTTGTCTTTTGTATTCATTGGTGAGAAATTAATACTGTATTGAAGATACTCCCGTGGAGAGAAGCAGGGGTGGTTTATATTGCATAGTTCCAGCATTTCCTTTGAAAAATGTCTTTTAAGCACCCCTTCTCCAGTCTCGAGTCTGTGAGAGTATCTTTCTGTCCTTCCTACTCCATTCCTACCTCCCTGCCTCTCCAAGGCTTCAGGATTGCCAGTCTTCCCTCAGTCTCCCCCTTTTCTCATGCAAAGCAAGTTATGCATTCTAGCTGAAGTTTACATTCCAGCAGAGAAGACAACTACAAAGATAAAATAACGATATACTGATTGGTAGTGAGGAGAGAGTAATTGCAATTGTCCATATTCCTGCTTCATAAGTAATTGAGGTTCTGATTCAGTAGGTTTAGGCAGGATGAGTACATTTGTGATTTTAATAAATTCCTAGGCAAATCTGAGGTATACCAATTTTAAGAACCAGTTTGGGATTATATATGCTTTCTGTTTTTTATTATATACTCTATGTATATTTGTATACGTAGTATATAACATAATGCATACTTGTATATTCTACTTTTTAAACTTTAGATATTTTATGAGTACATTCTCATTTTATTAAAAATAAATATAAAATCCACCTATGAACGGATCATAGAGTTTTAAATATTTCTCTCACTTATATATGTCATATATATATGTTTAATTTTCACATTACAAAATACATTGCAATGAACATTCCTATATATAAATCTTTGTCTACCTTCCATTCAATAAATTCTTTCTGATTCTTAGAATTGAAATCACTTGTTCAAAAAATGTGCATTCTTAGGGGCGCCTAGGTGGCGCAGTCGGTTAAGCATCCGACTTCAGCCAGGTCACGATCTCGCGGTCCGTGATGGCTGATGGCTCAGAGCCTGGAGCCTGTTTCCGATTCTGTGTCTCCCTCTCTCTCTGCCCCTCCCCCATTCATGCTCTGTCTCTCTCTGTCCCAAAAATAAATAAACGTTGAAAAAAAAAATTAAAAAAAAAATGTGCATTCTTTAAGACTTTAAAGCATGTTGCTAAATTATTTTCCAGAAACACTGTGATAGCGTATACCAACAGTTATAAAACTTTTCTGACCCTACTCAGCCTGTCTTCAATGATATAATCATTTTGTTATTGGTAATTTGACAGCTGAAAACTATCATCTCCTTATATGCCTCACTGGCACGTATTTGATTATAGAGAGATTAAACATTTTTCTATGTTAAAAATGAAAGCAGGGCAAGGGAAGAAAGAGTATGAGTGTGGAGGGAGCTGGTTCAGATAGGGGTGTCAGGAATACTGTCCTCAGGGAAGCCAAAGGAGGGAGCAAGCAAATGGATTAGAAAAGAGGATTCCAGGAAGAGGTTAAAGCCCCTGCATGGAGACAGTGAGAAGCCACAGTTAGTTTAGTGAGCTCTCGGTAGAGGGTAGGAGATGAGGAGAGGCTGAATTTGAAACTGCATTCTTTGGAAAGCCCGTCTTGGGGGCAAGTGAGCACGTAAATATTTGTTGGCTGTAATTCTACTGAAGAAGTGCTGGGTAAATGAACTTTGAAAGAAGGCAAGATTGAACTTGGTCCATCTCAAGCAAAGGAAAATCTATCTTGTTTTGAGGACAGACTCCCTAGAATTATTTTGATTATAAAGTAGATATACATGTTTATTAAAATGTCTGTAGATTCCATTCTTAAGTTTCATCAGGTTACTAAACACTTTCTTTTTTGAGCTCATATTTTCCTTTTCTGCTCATTCCTCCCATCCTTCATTTTGTGTTTCATCAATATCACTAGATTATCTACCCCAATATAATGCAGGACACAAAGTAAATTATTTTTTTCAGTCTCCTTCTTATTCCAAAAGGTGGTTTTCCTTCTTTCTCTCTTTCTCTTATTTTCCACTCCTTTTTTAGTCCAATCCGATAGCCTTATTGTTCTTTTTCAAATATATCACCTAATATACACAAAACAGTTGTATAACATGAGTTGGTTAAAAGCAAAATACTATAAAAAAATTACTGAACTGCTTTTTTTTAAAAAAAAGCACAAAAGTCTATAAAAATGCCCAGGGAGTGACCTCTGAATCCAACAATTAAAACAGAATACCACCTCACGTCAACCAGGATGGCTGTAATAAAAACAAAACAAACAATAACAAGTGTTGGCAATGATGTAGAGAAACTGGGACCCATACCACTGGTGGGAATGAATGATGGTGAAGCCATTTTGGGAAACACTCCGGTAGTTTCTCAAACAGATAAACTTTATTTATTTATTTTTTTTTTTTAAGATTTTATTTTTAAGTAATTTCTATACTCAGCATGGGGCTTGAACTCACTACCCCCAGACCAAGAGTTGCATGCTCTACCAACTGAGCTAGTCAGGAACCCCTTGAAACAGATAAACTTTAGAGTTACCTATGATTCAACAATTTCTCTTCTAGGAGTATGTCTGAGAGAAATGAAAACAAATGTCTGGAAGAAAGCTTATCACAAACATTCATAGCAACATTTTTTATAATAACCCAAAGTGGAAACAACCCTAATGTCCCTCAGTTGATGGATAAACAACATGTGGCATATACATACAATGGAATATTATTTACCCAAAAAGAAATGATACGTGCCACAACATGAATGTACCTTGAAGACATTAAAGTAAGTGAAAGCAGCCAATCAGAAAAGACCACATATTATATGATTTCACTTATATTAAATCTCCAGAAGAGGCATAGAGACACTACAGTAGATAGGCTATATCTAGGGCTAGAAAAGAGAACAGGAAGTGACAGCTAATGGATAATGAATTTATTTTAAACATTTTTTTAATGTTTATTTATTTGAGAGAGAGAGACGGAGTGTGAGTGGTAGAGGGGCAGAGAGAGGGAGACACAGAATCCAAAGCAGGCCCCAGGCTCTGAGCTGTCAGCACAGAGCCCGATGAGGGGCTTGAACCCATGAACCATGAGATCGTGACCTGAGCTGAAGTCTGGCGCTCAACCAACTGAGCCACCCAGGCGCCCCAAGGAATTTCTTTTTTGGTGATGAAAATGTTTTGGAATTAGTAGATATGTCATACAGCTTTGTGAATATGTATAAAGATTTTATTTTTAAGTAGTCTCTATACCCAGCATGGGGCTGGAACTATCATTTTACTATCTCCATTCTCCTCTCCCATCTCAGCCCTAAGCATCTGCTAATTAACTTCCTGTATCTCTAGATTTCCCTGTTCTGAACATGCCATATGAATGGAATAATTTAATATGTCATCTTTTGTGACTGCCAATTCTATTGGGGTTTGTCTGATGTTTCTCTCATGAATAGGTTGAGATTATGGGTTTTAGGGAGGAAGATTACAGAATAAAGTGTTATTTTCATCATATATCAAGGATACAGACTATCAATGTGATTTATACTGTTAATATTGACCTTGATCACCTGGGTGAGGTTGTGTTTTTCAGGTATCTCCACTGTAAAGTTATTATTTTTTCCTCCTTTCCATACTGCACTCTTTGGAAAGAAGTCACCATACACAGCTCACACTTAACAACTGGGAGTTCTGCTCACTCTAATAAGTAGTTTTTAAAAGTTCTTTTCTGAACTTAACCAAGGACACAAAAGACTTGTGCACTGAAAACTTTAGAACATTGCTGAAAGAAGGTAAAGGAAACAAAAATAACTGGAAAGTCATCCTTTGTTCATGGATCGGAAAACTTAATATTGTTGAAATTCCAGTACTACCCAAAGCAGTCTACAGATTCATTGAAATCCCTATCAAAATCCTAGTGACAGTTTTTGCAAAAATAGAAAAATCCATCCTTAAATACATATGGAATCTCAAGGGACCCCAAATAACCAAAACATTCTTGAAAAAGAAGAACAAAGTTGGCAGACTCACACTTCCTGATTTCAAAACTTACTACAAAGCTATAATAATCAAAATAGTGTGGTACTAGCTTAAGGATGGACATATACACCAATGGAATAAAATAGAAAGCCCACAAATAAACCCTTACCAAATGGTCAAATAATTTTCTACAAGAGTGTGAAGACCTTTCAGTGGGGAAAAGAGTCTTTTCAACAAGTGTTCCTGGGAGAAGTGAATATCTGCATGCAAAGGAACAAAGTTAGACTCTTACCTTGTACCATATACAAAGATTAACTCAATTATTAAGGATGCTCAATCATTGAGTAGAGCAAATGAAAACCATAACAAGATAGCACTTCACACCCACAAGAATAGTTATTATTTTAAAAAGCAGAAAATCACAGGTGTTGGTAGAGATATAGAGAAATTGTAATCTTTATGCATTGCAGGCAGGACTGTGAAATGGTGTAGCCCTTATGGAAAAGAGTGTGGCAGTTCCTCAAGAAATTAAACATAAAATTACTATCATCTAGCGCTTGGGTGTACATACATAAAAGAATTGAAAGCAGGGACTTGAACAGGTATCTATACTATACCTATGTTCATAGCAGTGTTATTTACATAGCTGAAAGGTGGAAATAACCCAAATGTCCATGGATGGGTGAATGGATAAACAAAATGTGCTATTTATACAATGGAATATTATTCAGCCTTAAAAAGAAATGAAATTCTGACACCTGCTATAACATAGATGAACCCTGAAGACATTATGCTAAGTGAAATAAGCCAGTCACAAAAGGACACACATTGTATGATTCCACCTACATGAAGGACCTACAATAATGAAATTCACAGAGACAGGAAGTAGAATAGTAGTTACCAGGGGTTAGGAGGTCTGGGGAATGGGGAATTCCTGTCCAGTGAATATAGAGTTTCAGTTTAGGATGTTGAAAAAGTTCTGAAGATGGATGGTGGTGACAGCTGCACAACAATGTGAATGTACTTAATGCCTAAACTGTACACTTAAAATTTTTAAGGGTAAATTTTGATATATATATATATTTACCAAAATCTTTGAAAAATTCTTTTCTTCTTTTCTAATCTTTCTATATCTGTTATTATAAACCTCCTGTTTATGTGTTCAATGTGCTGCCAGTGGGGAGGATTCAGTAGAAGAGAGGATTCGGGCAGAGAGTTGGAGGCTGGGAGAGTGGGAACATTCCTCTTGTGGGAAGAGCAGCATTGCACACAACATCCCCCACTTGCACAACACTGAGACACAACCCAGGGTAACACCAGTATTACCTGCCTGCCCAAGCAGTAGTAGTAGCTTGAAGCATTGATATTGGCAGTTCAATATTGGCCAGATTACTTTTATTGGAGTATTTGAGGCAACAAGGGAAGGAGCAAGAGGAAAGGGGGCTATTTTTTTTTTTTTTATAAACAGCCGCAACGGTTTTTAGTGGAACAACTTCCCTTTATGGTGGAAACAGGTGAGCTTATCCTTTAGCGAGGTCCAGCAACGCATAGGAGGGACAGGAATTTACACAATGCTGTGCAGTGGTTTTCTACACAGGCTTACAACAGTTCATTCTCAACCCACAGCAAATACCAGTTTTGAGCTAGACACATGAACACCTGTTCATGTCTTTGAGTTCATAGACATATGAACACCTGTTTAATTATGTCCAACAAAAAAATGCAAGATAAATTTTCCTAAAGCAGAGCAATTATCCCCCTTTCAGTTCCATAGAAAACATGAACTGCAAGCTTCACGTGAGAATCTGGTTTTGAGTAATCTGCATTTGACAGTATGTTAAAAAGTATAGTTTATGCTTGCACTGGCAATAGGTTGGGAACCATGAGAATTTCTAGAACTTCAAGTACATTTGTTCACTCTAATTCTAAAAGCAGCTTGCAGAGTCAATTAGAAATTATCTATGGGGTGCCTGGCTGGTTCAGTCGGTTGGGCATCTAACTTTGGCTCAGGTCATGATCTCACGGTTTGTGAGTTTGAGCCCCACATCGGGCTCTGTGCTGACAGCTCAGAGCCTGGAGCCTGCTTTGGATTCTGTGTCTCCTTCTCAATCTTCCCCTCTCCTACTCATGCTCACACACTTTCTCTCTCTTTCTCTCTCTCTCAAAATGAATAAACATTAAAAAATTTTTTTAAAAATCTGTGAGTTCATTCTATTTAGGGATTAACTGTACTCTTATTTCATTTCTTTGGCCTACAGATGATTGTACATTTTAAGATGTTAAGCACAAGCTGGGAACTTATGTTCCATGTGTGCTGATGTGACGATAGAATGAAGAATAGAAATCGGTGAAAGGTGAAATGGATCCATTAGGGACAATCATTTGAGTAACTAGAAAATAGCGTTATCTTATCAGAATGAGGACTAAATGTCTCTAAGTGAAATTCCCTGCTCAGGAGATTTCAAAGTTCTACCACGTTTATCAAAATAAGCCCCTTTTGGGGCACCTGTTTCTGGCTCAGTTGGAAGAACTTGCGACTCTTGATATCTGGGTCATGAGTTCAAGCCCCACGTTGGGTATAAAGATAACTACAAAAAAAAAAGCACTTTTGTAGTTGTTAGTGGTGGTTTCATTGTCAGCACACAGCCTTACAGTTTAACTCTCAAACTCTGATTTTATTTGGTTTTCGTTTAGCGTTTCCAAACCACAGGTCTGCTATGCACCCAGTGCTGAAGTTGCTATCTGGAGTGATTAATGTTTTAAATTTTGCTCCTCAGCGAGCACACAATCCAGGGGGAGATAAAGACTCAGGCGCATGAAAGAGTCAGTTGGCAATACAAACGGCTGAGGAACCCCTCCTCCGCAGCCGTGTTTCTCAAGTGGTGGTCTGAGGACGAGGGTCAGGAGCACCTGGGAAGCTTGTTAAAGTGCACTGTTGCAGAGCCCGCCCCAGTCTGCTGACAAGCACACAGGGGATTTGGACGCACACAACTGCTGAGCACCACTGCAGGTAATCAAGTATCAAATCAAGTGGGTACACGCTACAGGTGTTTATAGTTCCTTCGTTTTCCCCTCCGTGCACAGGAGGGGCTGAACTGATGTTCAGGACAATGAATAAGGACCGGGTAACAGCAGAAAGTGTTAAACAAAGTGAGGAAGCAGTTCTCACCTCACCACCTTCTACACTGGAGGGGCAGGGCAGGGTAATTGCTTTTATTCTTTGTGTGTGTGTGTGTTATTTTGTTTTATTTTAAGAGAGAAGAGAAAGAGTGAGGGAGAGAGGCAGAAGGAGAGAGAAAGAGAATCCCAAGCAGGCTCCATGCTCAGTGTGGAGCCCAACACAGGGCTGGATCCCACCACCCCAGGATCATGACCTGAGACGAAATCAAGAGACTCTTAATTTCAAGAAGAGCCACCCAGCCTGCCCTGCTTTTATTCTTCTAAAAGACAAGTGTCCTGCATTTCTGAGTCCTGATTTAGATGAAACATTCTCTAAAGGGACTTTGTTTTGTTTTTAAAGGCACCTTGTTATCTACAATCTTTCAGCTAGGGTAAAGTCATGTTAAGTGATTTCTTCAGAAATCATTTTTAAAGTCAGTGAACATGGAACAGGAAATGAGTCCCCACGCAGCTTCTGCAGCTCCAGCATCCTGCCTCACTCACCTGCAGCTGGTTTCTCTGGTTGGTTTTAGGCGGAAAACTCTCTGTGGTCCTGCGAGCTGAAGCAGTCTCGGAGCTCCTGCTGGATCCGTCCACGTGTGCTCTTGCCAAGGTGATGACAGCACCCCAAAATAGCAGTTGCAACATCTGAGGAAAGTTGTGATTTTCATTTTAGAACACTAGAGAAGTTTTCATCTGTTAGCCTGGCATTTTTATTAACTGCCTCTTCTGAATGCTGTCCATTCTCTAGATTCATGTTTACCTTACAAACAAAATCTCATTTATTGCGTCCCAGCTCTTGCTTGGTCTAGTGTCAGCTTTTGCCTATGTAAATAAGTCAAATGCTTCTGTTTGCTCTGATTTTTTTTTAACTAAAAGAGTCCAAAATAGCTTATTAGAGGAGAGGTGTGTTTATAGCAAAAGAGATATAAGGACAGGTAAAGGTTGTTTGTTTCTTTAAGTTTATCTATTTTGAGAAAGAGAGAGAGAGAGAAAGAGAGAGAGAGAAGAAAGAGAATCCCAAGAAGGCTCCATGCTGTCAGCCCAGAACTCATTGTGGGGCTTGACCGAAAAACCATGAGACCATAACCTGAGCCACGATCAAGAGTCAGACGCTTAACCAACTGAGCCACCCAGGTGCCCCTTATTTTGTTTTTTTAAAATAACAAAACTCCCTAGAGTATCATCTTGTTTTCTGCCTCCTCTGAACATAACTTTTTAACTATAATTTTATTAACTATAATTTTAGTAAGAAAAGTTAAAACATCTGAGAATTAAACAGCTTTGGCCTGTGTAAGCTTGGCTGCTGGGCAGTGTGGAAAATCATCTGGAAAAATAGCTGATTTCTGTAGTTTTACAGATTTCTGTAGGGTGCTGTATAGATATCACAGTGCCATGTGACAGACACTGGTGCCTGTGCTACGATGGGGGCCCCATAGGTCAGGGTCCGGTCCTCCGATTTACCATCTCAGGAACTTAAAATCCAGTTGTGATAAGATTCTGAAAAAATAGTTTCAAGGCTGACCATATGGCCAGAATGCCATCTAAATTAATTTACAAGGGGTGATAACCGCTATCGGTTATGAACTCAGGAGACCAAAGTGCTGATCAGAAAAGTGCTTGTCAAGCAATAGCCTTTGGACTGGTCTCTTTGCCCCAGTCCATGCCATGCAGTGCTTCTGGAGTTTCCATGAGTCCAGTTTTTATTAATTCCCTACTGGGAATCTACACTCATTGCTCACTCTGAGATTCAAAGATGCATTGCATGGACATGCCTGGGTGGCTCAGTTAGTTCAGGCATTTGACTCCGGTCATGATCTTGTGGTCCGTGAGTTTGAGACCTGCATCAGGCTCTCTGCTGTCAGCACAAAGCCCACTTCAGATCCTCTGTCTTCCTCCTTCTCCCCGCACCCTCAAAAATATTTAAACATTAAAAAAAAAAAAAAAAAGATGTGTTGCATGGATTATGGTGATGGTTGCACAACAATGTGAATGCACCTAATGCCAGTGAACTTGGTAAATTTTATGTTATGTGTTGCCACAGATGGGAGAAATTGGTGCAAATCCCTCAGGGCCTTCCAGGTGTGGCTCACTCAAGCTGTCTTAGGGTCTCCCCTCCTATTTTTCCCAGTGTATATGCTATGCTTTCTTCCCCCTGTCTTGCATGCACCATTCAGTGTGCTTCTTATTCTAGATTTGCCCAAATCTCTTCCAACAAAATTCTACCCATTTATGACATACACATGCATACACTTTCCATCGGGAGGCCTCATTTAACAATACTCCCTTGCTCAACTTGATTTGCTCTCTCTCTCCACTTGGAACACATAGCCCTTTGTTTAGACCAGCACTTTCCAAGTCTTGTTATGTACCAGAATCACCTGGAGAGCTAGTAAAACGCATAAGCCAAGGCTTAATGAGGAGGGACTGTCCTGGGTCTTCATAGTTTCCAGGTGAGCCCCAGGTAAGTTTGAAGACCACTGATCTAGACTTCCTTATAGCACTTCTAACTTTCTGCAATTTTTCATGTAATTGGTGCATTTACTAACACTCTGTGTTAAGTTGTACGCTTCAGTGGTTCTACTCTTTAAATCTTCCTCCACTGCAATGACTTTCAAGGGTGGGAACTAAGCGACTATGTGTTGTACAGAAATGACAAACAAAAGTAAGAGCTGAGAGGGGGTGGGGAAGGGGTTTGGTGGTACTCACCAAAGTGGAGCAAGCATGTAGGCTATTGGGTAAACACGGATGAGACTTGATCTGGAAAGCCATAGGGAGCTAGTGATGAGTCAATTATCAAAGGTCCACGGTGCACTTGGTTGTCATCGGATGCCATTATCAAGGGTCTGTGTCCCGAGGGAACAGATGATCTATGAAGGAGAGATAACAGGCTCTGATCTAGTCATGACAAGGATACAATGACTTCTGAGAAAGGCAGGGATGGAATCACAGTGGTATCTTTATGTGTTTAGACTGTGAATCTGAAGTTCTTAGAACATATGCAGGCCAGAGACTGGGCAGAGGGATAGATATGTCCAGGACCATGAGAGCTGTGCTCTCGGATAATACAGTGGGTCAAGCTAGGGTCAACTAGGGTGGGCTTGAAAACTGTGGCCTGACAGTAGGCCAGTGACGATAGCCTACAATTAAAACAAAGCCCCAAACCCCTGTAGGTCTGCAGAGATCACTGCAGATCCTGTGGGTGTCTGAGTGCTCCGCTATCTCCATCCCAGCAAAGTGGGACGGCTGTGAGGAGGGGGCTGACCAGGGCAGCTCTGGCCTCTGACTCCATTAGTGCTCACTTCTTTGGTGGAAACCCACCATTTCTGGCATCCAGTACTTCATTCCCTCATTTAAATCTTTAAAAAAAATTTTTTTTTGAATGTTTATTTATTTTTGAGAGAGAGAGAGAGACAGAGCATGAGCAGGGGAGGGGCAGAGAGAGAGGAAGACACAGAATCCGAAGCAGGCTCCAGGCTCTGAGCTGTCAGCACAGAACCCAACGTGGGGCTCGAAGCCACGGACCGTGAGATCATGACCTGAGCCGAAGTCGGATGCTCAACCAACTGAGTCACCCAGGCTCCCCGTCATTCCCTCATTTAATCATATACATTTATTGAGCACTTACTGTGTGCAGAGCACTTTGCTGAGTATGTGGTGATATATTCCCAGCAACATGCAGGCACAAGGCCTCCACACATTCTCACTCTGTCCCAGCTTCTCCTCTACCTGCTTTTTCCTGGAAAATCTCACTTTGGACTATCCATTTAGTAGGAGGAGGAGAAACAAAAAAGGATACTTCTGAACAGTACTTTATCTTGAAATTGCTTATGTTCTAACGATCCTATTTACTTATTTCTAGGGCACCGTCGATTTCCTCTCTCTTGATTTGTTTTATGAATGCCAAAGTGAGGCAAGTTTGCCACAGAAGTTGAGTAAATTGCAGGTAATTTGAGCCATTTCCCATATTGATGAACGGTGAAGCTTCCTGACAGCATGTTAGACATTTTTTTTAATGTTTATTTTGTTTAGAGACAGTGTGTGTGAGCTGGGGAGGGACAGAGAGAGAGAATCCCAAGCAGACTCTGGGCTGTCAGCACAGAGCTAGATGGGGGCTTGATCCTATAAACCATAAGATCATGATCTGAGCTGATTCCAAGACTCGGACGTTTAACTGATTGAGTGCCCCAGCATATTAGACATTTAATGCTCTCGCTGATGTGTGAACTGAGCTATTCCATGCAGAGCCAGCAGACCTGCAGAGCTGCATCTGGGTAGATCTCCAGTGAATGCATTGCTGGAGAACATTGCAGGGTCAGGCAGTCCTCCCTGGAAGAGGTAATGAGGGTTGTCTTATTAAGGTAAATATCCCACATGGATCTCTTGTGTAGATATCTTAGAATTGAAATTCCAGTCAGTGTTCATCCTAAGATTTAAAAGGGCTTTTCATGGATGGTGGTTGTGGTTGCACAACAACGTGAATGTACTTAATGCCACTGAACTGTAAAAATGGTTATGATGGCAAATTTTTATTTTTTTATTTTTTATTTTATTTATTTTTGATCTTTTTTAATTTTTTTATTTTAATATGAAATTTATTGTCAAATTGGTTTCCATACAACACCCAGTGCTCATCCCAACAGGTGTCCTCCTCAATGCCCATCACCCACTTTCCCCTCCCTCCCACCCCCCACCAACCCTCAGTTTGTTCTCAGTTTTTAAGAGTCTCTTTTTTTCTCTCTAAAATCAAATACTAATTTTTTTTTTTACATTTATTTATTTTTGAGAGATAGAGACAGAGTGTGAGTGGGAGAGGAGCACAGAGAGAGGGAGACCAAGAATCCGGAGCAGGCTCCAGGTTCTGAGCTGTCAGCACAGAGCCCGGCGCAGGGCTTGAACTCACCAACTGTGAGATCATGACCTGAGCCGAAGTTGGGCACTCAACCCGACTGAGCGACCCAGGTGCCCCGATACTAAATCTTTTTTTAAAAAATTATACATTACTCTAAAGGCTTCCATATATTATATAGTTCATATAACTTGAATTAATGGTTCTTCAGGTAAAATGCACACACCAGCAGCATCACCTTGGAAATGCAAATTCTTTTTTTATTTTTATTTTATTTTTAAATTTTTTTAATGTTTATTTATTTATTTATTTTAATATATGAAATTTATTGTCAAATTGGTTTCCATAAAACACCCAATGCTCATCCCAAAAGATGCCCTCTTCAATACCCATCACCTATCCTTCCCTCCCTCCCATCCATCAACCCTCAGTTTGTTCTCAGTTTTTAAGAGTCTCTTATGCTTTGGCTCTCTCCCTTTCTAACGATGGCAAATTTTATTTATGTCTCACCACAACTGAAAAAAAAAAAGACATTTCACACCCAGGTCTGCTGAATCAGATGCCAGCTATGGGGATCTTCCTGTAACCTCAGGCCCTTCCTTCCCGTTCCCAGGATTGTTTTCCTCAAGTCTAATGATTGTGACTATTTAGAGAAAGTATGTTGGATGCCACCTACCTACCTATTAGCTTTCTGTCCTATGCTTGGTCACTGCTGAGCACCTTCCTCATGGAAGATAAATCCCCAATTCCCTGGAGTCCTGACTGTTAGCCCATCTCCTAACAGGTTAGAACAGATTGCACACCCAGGGGCTTCTCTCTGGCCTTCCTGGGTCCTAGCAGTATTTCCATACTTACCCCTGAAGAGCTGCCCTCTCACAGGCCTCTCCAGGGACACCTGGCCACCAGCATTCACCCGTGTCTTCCTCTTGCCTCTGCAGGTGTGGGTTATAAAGCCACTCCCCTCTGCTTTCAGCCCTGTGCCTCCTGGCTTTGAATCCCAGCATCCCCACCATAGGCAGGGTGGATTGTTAGAGGAATTACCTGTTTAAAGGCCAAGCTCATCAGTGTCAAACCCTCAGTGCTGCAACTAGGTGGGAACTCCATTTGACCCGAGGCTGGAAGCTTGAAATGGACTAATTAGCATCAGTCCCATCCCTGTGTCTGTGGGTTTCCTGCTGACCTTGTAGGCACTGCCGCTTTTATTGTTTACAAATACTATGATCTAATAATCAAAGACAGCAGATGCATTCACAAGATATTTGAGTAATAGCTGCTATGACTTTAGTGCCTGCTCTGTGCCCCGCACCGCGTGGGGCACTTTATCCTCATGTTATCCCTTACAGCAGACCCCAACACTTAAGAAACTTAACCAAGGTCAGACATGAGGTAGTGAGCAGAGCTGGAATTGGAAGCAGGGCTTTCTCATGACACCACACTCCCTCTGCAAGACAAAAATAATTCCAAGGTGTTGGGGACATTATAATGAGGGTGGCATTTTTGAAAATCATGTATAATTTTAGTTGTTTTTGCAAATATCTTCTTACCTGAACCCAAACTGGCTTGACCCAGAGACTGCACTGGTGGGCTTGGTGGGCCAGATTTCTGGGCCGTAAGCAGCGCTGAAGTAGTGTCTTCAAGGCCTGCTGATGCCTGTCACACCTAAACCTGTCTTTTGTCTTCTTTAAGGACTTCAACCAGGGCTTGTTCCTCAGCTAATGGGTTCATTGTCTGACGTTTTAAAACTGTCTGGGTTAGGCAGATGGAGCATGCCTCAGAGAGGCCATCAACAGAGCACTGGCTTAATTTCTGCTTGAGGATGTGGTTTACAGTGTTTCTCTTTTGACATCAAAACGTTTTCAAGAAGGCCTGCTCCCCCCGTGTCTGGATAAAGCTGTGAACTCTCAGTTGAGAGCTGGCCAGCCGAATAGTAAAACCCTCCTGGACAAACTTGGCAGCCTTTTATTAGGAGTTCTTTATTCCTATTATTTCCTTAGGTAGGGATTAGGTTCCAGATGCTGCATTTGACACTTCAGATGTAGCTCTAAAGATTCAGGATGACCACTTTCATCACCAGCTATGAGGAGAGAACTGAGCTGGAGAGGAGACTGTCCCTCTCTGGGCTCGTTGGTTTACAGGCGTATACCATTTCCCACACAGCACATCCAGGAGAGGAAGAACAGCTCTCTCCCCAGGCGAGGGGCTGACTTGTGTCCCCAAGAACCCGGATCATTCTGCCCACTGCTTCCTTCGGAGCGTACCCTTCCTCCTCATCTGGGGTCCTCTCACCCTGCTCCTGGAGGCTTGAAGGCCTGGAGGAGCAGGTCCCGCGCTGTCCCATTCCCGTTTCCTTCCACTCTCCCCAGAGCACCTGCACATCCTTCTCTGAGCCTCAGGGACCCTGAGCTGCTGCTCTTCTCACCAGCACACAGGTGTTTTCGGGCTAGAAGACATCCTCATGCCCAGCACATCTAAATTCTGCAGGAGGTGCATGAGCAGTGCCCCTGTCCTCTGAGCAGGTAAAGGCTCTGCTCACCCAGGAAATTCCCCACTCAGCTGAAGGCTCCTTCAGCCCTCCTGGCCCCCACTGTGTGTTGATCTTTCAGGAGAGAGAAAATCCTCGGTCCCCTTAGCTGTTGGGTTCCCCTGCATCCACCCAGCAAGGGAAAGAATGAGGACTGTATGAGCTGCACCTCCTTTAACTGTGGTCTTGGGCAACTTAGCTTCTCAAGGCTGAAGGCACTTTATCTGTAAAGAAGGGGCATTGTTGCAGGTGACTCTGAGAAAATAAAGAATGAGCCTGCCTTCTTTGGAAGTAGTTGCTATCGGTATCTCTCAGTGGCTTTTAACTCCTCCGAAGCGGAAAAACTTGATGTGGGGAAAATGACCAAACCCAACCTCGTCCCCAGAAAAGGTAATTGAAAGTGAAGTCACACAACATGTTTCCTTTGACAGTGAAATGGCTTAGAAATGGGAGAAAAGTGGGGCGCCTGGGTGGCGCAGTCGGTTGGGCATCCGACTTCAGCCAGGTCACGATCTCGCGGTCCGTGAGTTCGAGCCCCGCGTCGGGCTCTGGGCTGATGGCTCAGAGCCTGGAGCCTGTTTCCGATTCTGTGTCTCCCTCTCTCTCTGCCCCTCGCCCGTTCATGCTCTGTCTCTCTCTGTCCCAAAAATAAATAAACGTTGAAAAAAAATTAAAAAAAAAAAAAAAGAAATGGGAGAAAAGTCACACCTGTTCCATTTGAATGAGGGCCGCTTTATCATCATTATTCTTATGGAAAATGTGAAATATGTCTACAAGAAAAGTATAACGAAGCCATCCCCAACTTCAAAAGCTGTCGACTCACGGCTGATCTTGTTTCATCGATGCCCCATCTTTCCCTTCTCAAGTCAGGTTGTTTTGAAGCAAACCCCAGACATGCATAAATACTGTGATGGTGGCGCCCGATTAAGCCTCTTATAGTGAGAAAGGCCCCTAACATGAGTGGATGGCCTTGTCCCTGGTCCCAACACAGTGCCTGGTTGGGCACTGTAAGCCTTGTAAGCATGCTAAGCCTATCTCTTTGGTGTCGGTTGATGGGGAGGGTGTGGCCGCTGTTACTGAAAAGTGTAGCTCATTCTCCCTCTGAGTCTAGAGTCTGCTTCCTTTCCTAATTGAGATGTCTGGAGGTCCTTTCCCAAACCGGAGTGAGGTTCGTAACTTCTCATCTTGAAAATCTATCCTTGTTATCAAAAGACTTATGCTAGGCAACTCCAATTCACTTGTTGGCCTTTATCTTTTTCAGAATGTTGAGCCAAAAGTAAAAATTTTCATCTTCAGTCTAAGATTCCAGGACTGCCCCTCCACCAGGAAGAAGTCAGCCAGACTGCTCTTCGGCCTTCTCGAGGGTGAGTGGACCATTGCTGGCGAGGTTTTGAGTCACATTTGGTGCACTGGCTTGGCAGTAGCAGTCCTCAAAGTCTGGGGTTCCAATAAGAGGAAGGACCAGAGGAGGGCTGGTCTGAGAGCCCACCCCAGACGCCTTGGTACCCTCTGTCCCTTAGCTCCCACTGACCCAAGAAAGACGAGGGGTTCTGTATAAAGAGGACAAGGATGCCTCGGTCTTGTGTAAATAAAGGCCATCAGGCCTCAGGTATCAGGTGTAAGCAGGGGAACTGCTCTGTGCTTGTGTGTCCCCTTCCATTACCCATTCCTCCGATATCTCACCTTTGCCTCACTCTGCTTCCTCTTATTCACGTCCCCATTTCACTTCAGCTTGCACATGGTCCCAGTGGGCACCTCACCAAAACCTTCATGTCTAAGACCCACAGCTCATGGACCATCTTCTCTGTGCTTCTTATGTCAAATTCTTGAGAGTGAATCTGACTGGGGGTCCATGGATCAGGAGATCACTCCTGGTCCATTCGGGTCAAGGGAAAGGTGGATTCTGTTAAGGCATCAGGGGCTGAGGATCTACTAGAGACTCTGCAGGAAGGATCTGAGGGCCACATTCCTGGGTGTCCTGACATCCATCCCAGTCACCCTATAAGGCAGAGTATGGTATAAGTCAGTAGTGCCCTTTTTACTACCTGTAACCAGTACTGAGCTGACTTCACAGATCTCCTGACACTCATCCATAGATACCACTTAATAACCCTCACCCTAACTCATTTTTTGATGGCATACCGATCTCTATTCTTAAGTTCCATCCCTTTCTAAATGGCTAAAATGGTCAATTTTATGTTGATACATAGTTTACTACAATTTAAAAAAGTCCATCCTTTTCTGATGTTTGAGTTCTTCTAAATCAATTGTTCTCCATGTGTGGTCTCCAGACCAGCATCATCAGCCTCACCTGGGACCTTGTTAGACATTCAAATCCTTGAGCCCTATGTCAGATGCACTGGATCAGAAACTGTGAGGTGGGCCCAGCAATTTGTGCTTTACAAGCTCTGCAGGTGATTCTGATGCACACAGAAGTTTGAGAACCACTGTTCTAAGTAGGTGGAAATCACTTCTGACCTCCTTAGTTCTTTAGTCCATGGCATTTTCCAGGGAGCTTAGAACAATTGCTTGGAGTTTGGGTGTGTTGTATATATAAGGAAAACGATTGATGGCAATCATGCATATTGTTGGTTGGACTTCAGGGAGAATTAATTAAACTTCTTCTTTTACAGCCATAAATAAAAGCCAAGTGATCACCATTGGGTTTGATCTCAATACTTTCCTGAGCTGTTCAAGTTCCAAGAAAAGGTAATGTTAGATTTCCTGCTGAAGTATCAATAGCTGATATTTGCAGAATATTCTTTCATATGTGTGATCTCATGGGACTGTTGCCATCTGCCTCTCGCCAGTGATTTTACCATGGCTGTTCTGTAGGCGAGAGATAAAGGCTCAGAGGGGATGGCAGAGGGAGCCTGTCTCCCATTGCATCTTACCTGGGGCCCACATGGTCCTGCATCCTCTCTTGTCATTCTGCACTGGTGACCTTTGCAGTTTGTCCAAGTGTACACAATGAGTAGAGCTGGTATCTGAACCCCTGTCTTCTAATTTAAGATCTTGTTGGAGACAACCTGAGTTTGTGGAACAGCAGCCTGGGTTAAAGATATATCTGACCACCCCACTGAAGTTACATGTTCTGAGTAAGTGAGGTTAGTTCTGTATACCTGTTTCCTCATGTGATATGTAAAACATCTTCCCCTCGAGGAGATAGCATAGGTAGGAGATTGAACTGTTGCACTGGGGCAGAAACCTAACTCAGTGGTGTTCTAAGAAGAGGTTGTTTTTGGTTTTTGTGGGTTTTTTTTTTTTTTACTTTTTTATTTCCTTAAGTAATCTCTATACCCAATGTGGGGCTTGAATTCATGACCCTTCAAGATAAACAGTCACAGGCTCTACCAACTGAGACAGCCAGGCATACCCTAAGAAGAGGGGTTTTAATTTATGTGGGGTTGCAAATAATTTCTTACCGAAATTATGGCTAAAATACCAAAATTTGTAAATGGCATACTTTAAAAAAATATTAGAGCAGGTTGTAGGTTACCCCCATAATGACCCTCTCACAACACTCAAAATCCGACGTGCTTCCCAACTGAGCATGAAAAGGATGGTGTGGACTCCTGAAATCATTGTTGCACTATATGCTAACTAATTTGGATGTAAATTTTAAAAAAATTTTAAATAAAATTTAAAAAATAAAATAAAAACCTAAAAGACAAAAAAGACGTGGGCCAACCACGTACAAATGACATCCTCTCTCCACATGACAAACCTAAAAGACAAAAACCTAAAAGGATGGTGTGGAAACCAGGAGATGGTTGTTCCCCAGAAACGTCAGCCTTCCATGGGTATGTTACACATGTGAGCTTCATGGACCATGCATTGACGAAAGACAAAGACTGGAAAGAATCATTTGGCTTCCCAGACTTTGAGCTAGAGCTCTCCTTACCCTACCTCAGACTGCTAGAAAAGCTCTGTCCAGGGTCACTAACTCAGTTGCTACCATCTTCTTGTGCTTTTCCTCTCCTAGCACTTGCGTATCTCAATCTGTTGTTCAGTCCTCTCAACTCACTTCAAGCTCCGCCGGTTAAACCAACAGACCCCGAGTGGCTGCTACTGTCAGGCTTTGTGCTGGGAGTATGAATGGTAGAAAGAGCAGATAGGTCAAAAGTGCTCCCTGACCACACTCGGAGTCAGCTGAGGATTACTGGGCTATGTCTTTTCAGAAAATAGAACTCAAGAGGCCATAATGAAAGGGTTACCCAGAAAGCTCAGTAATTATAAAACCACAAGATGCCACATGATATCAGCTCCAAGGTTCTCCCTCTAAACTTGGCCTGAGGCAAAGGTCCAACACTGGCTGACATTAAACTAACAGCTGGGGATCCTCATTCAGGGGGATGTTGGTGGAGAGTCTGCTGGGGGCCAGGGCAGATTGAGGGGGGTTCCAACAGGAGTAACATCCTTTTCTCTTTGAGAATCTTAGACCTTGGAAGGGAAGCAGAGTGGCCCACAAATGACTCTAATACCAGATTGTGGCAGAAGACAAAGCATTGCTCCCCAGAAGGGGGAGAAAGAGCATTATCTGGGATGCTCTGAGGTGGCTGGGGGCAGGGGAGGAATAGCTGAAGGAGGGCTACCTGCAGGGCCTGGGCATAGAAACTGAGGCTATGCTAAATCTCTTGAGAGATACTCAGTATACTCATACTGAGTATGTTAAATCTCCTCCCAAGTTAGGTAAACCTGAACTTCCAGCATTAAAGCTTTTAGAGCAAATTGAGGGGTGGCTGGCTGGCTGGCTCAGTCAGAAGAACATGTAACTCTTGATCTCAAGGTTGTGAGTTCTAGATCCATGCTGGGTGAAGAGATTATACATACATACATAAGCAAATAAAAAAGCAAATGAATAATTAAGCAGTCCTTTAGAGCAAATTGTATTTTATCCAGGGACTGTTTGTTTCTTTCCTCAAGACTTCATTTCTTCCAAGCCAGGAGGACAATCAGGATCAGGAGTTTTAGGTCAGAGTAGCTGAGTCTGTTCATTGAGTGGGTGTCACCTGTGTCCCTGGTTGTGCTCCAGAGACCTGTATATATTATGGATAATCCATAACTATAGATCACCCTCCACCCCCACTGCTGTTTTAGCAAATGTGAGTTCGTTGACGCTTCGTAAAATAGGAGGTACTTAAGTTTGGAAGACCCAGATTTCTCTCCATTGGACAGAGGTCCCTCTGCAATGTCCCTGTCACTTTTACCAATTTTGTGCTCTGGGCTAACCACGCACAAATGACATCCTCCCTCCACATGATGGCCATTGGACAGGAGATGCCCTTGTACTGCACCCCCTTCCACCATCCCCCTGCGATTCCCCCTCCAGACCAAACACATCCACCTACACCAACCCTTCCTCAACATTGCCCTCTGCTGGTGTAACTGCCACATGCTCTCTTACAGTGCCTTCCAGCCTGTAGGCCAGGACTTGGAGATTGGTAAACCAATTTAGGGTTTGTTTTGAAACATGAGAAGAAAATGTTTTATTAAAAAAAGAAAGGAAGAGGGGCGCCTGGGTGGCTCAGTCGGTTAAGCGTCCGACTTCAGCTCAGGTCATGAACTTGCAGTTTGTGAGTTCAAGACCCGCAGCAAGCTCTGTGCTGCCAGCTTGGAGCCTGCTTCTTATTCTGTGTCTCCCTCTCTCTCTACCCCTCCCCTGCTTATGCTCTGTCTCTCTCTGCCTCTCAAAAATAAATAAATGTTAAAAGAAAATTAAAAACAAAAAAGGAAGGAAGGAAAGACAGGAGAGAAATGGACTAGAATAAAATAGAAAATAGAGTGCATTCATGTAAGGATAGCATTTTTACAGTATGTTTTATTTCAAATATATATATTTATCTGAATTTATATATATGAAATATTTAAAAATCTATAAATGTCTACACATCTACAAATACAGTGATATGTGGTTAAAAGCACAGACTGTATTCTACAGTTTGTAAACTATGTGATTAAGGAGAAGTTCTCATTAAAAAAAAAGATGTGGGTTCATTTACATTACAAAGGCTGGAGATGGATGATCTACAGTAGGTACAATCATCAGGAATCCAGGCTTCTGCCTTAATTTTTGTCATCCTTAACAAGGCTTCCACCTTATTGTCCAGTATGACTGCATGAGCTCCTGCCATTGTGTCCATAATCCAGGCAGTATGAAGGAGAAAGGAGGTTGTAGCTGGTGTTAATATTTAGCTGATGCACATCAGTAGAGCTACACCAGTAATTCAGTTATTGAAATACTTTCTTCCATACCAGCTGACAAACAGGTGCTGGTCCCCTGATGCCCAGAATATACTCATTTCTTTGACTCTCAATCTCCTTCTCTATAGGATACGGTTAAATAATTGTAGTCCTTATCTAATAAATTCGTGAAAATTAATGGAGAGACCTACATTCATATCACAGTGGCCAGCACAGAATCAAGGCATAATGAGTTAAAGCCATCATTATGATTAGCTATGTTTTATAAACAGTAAGAAGAAAAAGCATGGCATCAGAACTAAAGACAGTATTTGAGGACAAGCTAATACACAGAACGGTAGGCTTGGCACAGTGTTTGGAGTCCTGCAGAAGCAATAATAACTCACCTAAGAAGAGGCAATAATAGTAATTTTCCCATCTACCAGGCACTTGTGTGGCTTTTGACTCAGTGCTTCTCGAACCTTTACTAATTACACACATTGCCGCCATCCATCAGTCTGGGGGCGCAGGTAACCCGCAGGGTCATTACTCACCGTGTCCTTTCCGTCTTTCGGATCCCGCAGCGGGCCCTGCTCTCGGACAGACAGCGCGCCCCTCCAGACCGCCGCGCAGCCTGCCCTAGGGACCGCAGCAGGTTCCTCCTCGCCGCGGGGCTCCGCCTACCGGAGAGTCTGGGGAACATTTGCCAACCAATCCACGGCCGAAAGGGACGCTTTCCTGCGGGAGGATTTCCCCGAAGGCTTCCTCTGGGGCGTCTCCACGGGAGCCTTTAACGTGGAAGGAGGCTGGGCCGAGGGCGGAAGAGGGCCGAGCGTCTGGGACCACCTGGGTCGCCGGCACGCCTCCGAGGGCGCAGCAACACCGGAGGTGGCCAGTGACAGCTACCACAAGGTGGACACCGATGTGGCCCTGCTTCGCGGCCTCCAAGCTCACGTCTACAAGTTCTCCATCTCCTGGTCCCGCATCTTCCCCACGGGGCTCGGGCCCGGACCCAGCCGCCAGGGCGTCGCCTACTACAGCAGGCTCATCGACAGCCTGCTGGACGCGCGCATCCAGCCCATGGCCACGCTCTTCCACTGGGACCTGCCCCAGGCCCTGCAGGAGCGCGGCGGGTGGCAGGACGACAGTGTGGTGGACGCCTTCCTGGACTACGCGGCTTTTTGCTTCGCCACCTTCGGGGACCGCGTGAAGCTGTGGGTGACCTTCCATGAGCCGTGGGTGATGAGCTACGCGGGCTACGGCACGGGCCGACACGCACCGGGCATCTCCGACCCGGGTGTGGCCTCTTTCAAGGTACTTCTCGTCCTTGCAGTGCCGCCTCACTGGAGGAGAATTTGGCTGGGAGAAAGTCATTGTCTCTTCCAGTCAGAATGCGTTTACTTTTTGTGCTTTAAAGGAAGCCAGAGGGAGGGAAGGCACCATAAATAGTTAATCACCTTATTTTGTCCAAATACTGCTGGCACTTTGACAAGTTATTACATCCTTGGAACAGTGCTGGTGGATGAGGGAACTGGGGATCAGAGAGGAGAAACTGTTTCCTGATGGCATCGCTACAGGGTCAGCAGTTTGAAGCCAGAATCTGAGCCCGAGTCTGCTTGAGTCTACAGCAGATTTTCCTTGTCATGCAGGACTCTTAGTTGCATGGGACAGAAAAACCAACCCAGACAGACTTAAGCCAAGTGGGAGTCCATCAGCTCGGGAAACTGAAAAGTCTGGGCTTTAATATGATTTTTTTTTTATTTTTTTTTCAACGTTTATTTATTTTTGGGACAGAGAGAGACAGAGCATGAACGGGGGAGGGTCAGAGAGAGAGGGAGACTCAGAATCGGAAACAGGCTCCAGGCTCCGAGCCATCAGCCCAGAGCCTGACGTGGGGCTCGAACTCACGGACCGCGAGATCGTGACCTGGCTGAAGTCGGACGCTTAACCGACTGCGCCACCCAGGCGCCCCAATATGATTTTTTTAATGTTTATATATTTTGGGAGAGTGAGAGAGAGCATGAGTTGGGGAGGGGCAGAGAGAGAGAAAATCCCAAGCAGGCCCCAAGCTGTCAGCACAGAGCTGGCGGTGGGGGGGGGGGGGGGGGCTCGATCCAACTAACAGTGACATAATGACCTGAGCTGAAATCAAGAGTCAGAGGCTCAACCAACTGAGCCACCCAGGCATCCCTGAAAAGTCTGGGTTTTAGCTGGTCAGAGTGGAGCTTGATCAGATCCCAAACAATGCCACTAGTACTCAATTTCTCTTCTTGCCCCTCCTTGTTGGTTTTCTACTTGGGCTGCTTGGTAACCGGATGGTAGCCGCCATGCTCTCCTATGTCAAGACCAGCAGGAAAGAAAGCTTACCTCTCTTCTGGCATTCCCAGCAAACGTGTCCCTGTGCCTTATGCTTGCTGCATGGGTTGCATGCCCATCCCTGAACCAATCACTAAGTTTAGGCTGGGAAAATGTTGTGCAGTGACTGGTCTGGGTCCGGGTCTCAGCTCTACCCCTCCACACATTGGCTGAGAGGTGGGGAGGTGGAAAAGGAAAAAGGGTTTGGCTTTCCAGAGGGTAGGCAGGGTATCATTTCCATAAGAAGGGGATGTATATACTGGAGACAAAATTTTAAGTAGCTTAATATGGGCCCTTTCCAGCATTTCTTTTTTTGCTCAGATCTCCCAGAAAACTCACCAGCTTTCCCTGACATCCATATTCAGGATGCACATGTTAGCCTGGCTTTCCCCTGCCACATCTTGGGTTCTGTTCTGAAATAGGAGTCTTTTGCCTTGCCCTATGCTAGGTGTTAAGGAGGATGCATGACCCATATCCTCAAGATTTAATACTTTTTGGAGATGATACAAGTAAATACACATAAGAAAATTAGAGAACAATCCAAAATGTCCACACTCAGAATGAGCTAAAATCAATGACTTGATGAAATGCCAAAAATTAGAGTGAAGTCAAAGCTTCCACTCTGCTCTTGTTCAACAAGAGCATACACGCCAAGAGAGAACACTCCTCAAAATGGAAGGTTTGAACCTTTCTGTTTGTCTCCTTGTTGTAAAACTCATCCCAACCTCTTCTCCTGGCTTCTTACCCCTACAACTGTGGCTCCTGGAAAGTCCACACCACCTTTCTCCTTCAATTCTTGCTTTGATTCATTAGTTAAAACAGTATAATACCATTAAGGGAAGATGACAAAGAAAACAGTTCACTCATAATTTTGCCCATATGTCCTTCCAGTCCTTGCATTCACAGTGTACTCACAGAGTGCACTAAATTCAGTGCCTTTTTAAAAATTTTTTTAATATTTATTTATTTTTGAGACAGAGACAGAGCATGAACAGGGGAGGGTCAGAGAGAGAGGGAGACACAGAATCCGAAGGAGGCTCCAGGCTCTGAGCTGTCAGCACAGAGCCCGACGTGGTGCTCGAACTCACAAACCGTGAGATCATGACCTGAGCCGAAGTCGGACGTTTAACCGACTGAGCCACCCAAGCACCCCTTAGTACATTTTTTCAAGTAGACTTTATTTTTTTAATGTTTATTTATTTTGAGAGGCAGAGAGAGAGAGAGGTGGGGGAAGGGCAGAGAGAGAGAATCCCAAGCAGACTCCATGCTGACAATGCTGATGCAGGGCTCAAACCCACAAACCATAAGATCATGACCTGAGCCAAAATCAAGACATCAGATGTTTAACTGATGGAGCCACCCAGGTGCCCCAAGTAGACTTTATTTTTTACAGTGGTTTTAAGTCCACAGCAAAATTGAACAGAAGTTACGTAGATTTTCCATATACCCTCTGCTCCCACGCGTGCACATTTTGACATCCCCCACCAGCATGGTACATTTGTTATGATGATTGAACCCACACTGGCTGTCATAATCACCCTAGTGCCCATTTCTTATCTGACATGTCATTAACACCTTTCCATGTTCTTACATGGCCACAATGACTGGTTTTGCTAGTTGTTTCATATTCTGCTGAGCCCCCTGCCTGATGCTGACTCAGTTAGAAGGCACACATTCCTGCCTTTTGGAAAGAAGCACAGTTTGCCATTGGAGTTTAGGACCCTGTTAAGGATTAACATTTGCAACATGAGAAGCAATGAGGAGTTTGACTTCCTAAGGCATATTTTGATCTGAAAGTCTTCAAGAGTAAGTGTCATTATCTTCAGATGACAAAAATGAAAAAGGAAAGGATGATAAGCAATAGCAATCTCCCTCCTACACCCCAAGTGTCTGCTTGGTGCTCTATATACATGATCTTATTTAGTCCTCTTAAATGAATGCATAATTACCACTTCTTGCATACAAGGAAACTGAATGAGAAGCAAGTTAGTGACAAAGTCAAAATTTAAGTCTAGTTTTGTTATACTCCAGACACCCTGCTTTTGCCCGTTTTCCCATGGCACTCTGCCAAGGAAAGCTGTTAACTTTTGTAAGACCTTGAGTTAAGTCTACAAAGAGATTCCTGGTCATGGGTTTTCCTCCTAGATTTCATTAAGTGGAAAGAGCAGGTAGGTTAGAAAGAATTGTCCCATCCCTTCTGTGTCAAATAAAATGACCGTTCCAAATTCGTTGTTGATGAATTATTCAATAAGCACTTACTAAGAACAAAGTCAGAATAGCATCATGGGGGACAATACAGGCCTAGAGTCAGGCTTCTTGCATTCTACACCTCTCTAGATCTTGTTCCCCTCATCTGTATAGTGGTAATAATAATTATACTGTCACACAAGACTGTTGGGAGGAGCTTATGAGAGAATTCATTAACAATTTTTTACTGTGAAATATGGTTATTGATGCTACTGCTATTGACTTGTTGATGGTGATGTTGACTTGTTGATGTTATTGGCTGTTGATATTGCTGGCATTTGTGTTGATGATGTTGATGTCAACATTGTCCATGTTGATTTACTGACATTGTTAGCATCAATCTTAACTACTTTTTGATATTGTTGACTTGTTGATATTGGCATTGACTGCTGATGACTTCCTGATGTTGTTGACATTGATGCTGTTATTGATGTGGACATTTTCATTGTGGCTATTTTATTAACATTGGTAACATTATTGACATTCGTATTAACTTATTGTTGTAGACTTGTTATTGGCTTGTGGTTGTTGTTGGCTTTGCTATTAGTTGTTATTAAGCACTGTATTTCTTTCTTTTTTTTCCTCACAAGGTGGCTCACTTGGTCCTCAAGGCTCATGCCAGAGTTTGGCACCACTATAATAGCCACTATCGTCCACAGCAGCAGGGACGTGTGGGCATTGTGTTGAACTCAGACTGGGCAGAACCTCTGTCCCCAGAGAGGTCTGAGGACCTGAGTGCCTCTGAACGCTTCTTGCACTTCATGCTGGGCTGGTTTGCACACCCCATCTTTGTGGATGGAGACTACCCTGCTGCCCTGAAGGCCCAAATCCAACAGAAGAACCAACAGTGCCCCAGTCTTGTGGCCCAGCTCCCTGAGTTCACTGAGGCAGAGAAGCAACTCCTGAAAGGCTCTGCTGATTTTCTGGGTCTGTCTCATTACACTTCTCGCCTTATCAGCACGGCCCAACAAGATTCCTGCATCCCTAGCTATGACACCATTGGAGGCTTTTCCCAACATGTGGACCCTGCATGGCCTCAGACCTCATCCCCTTGGATTTATGTGGTGCCCTGGGGTATAAGGAGGCTATTGCAGTTTGTATCTTTGGAATACACAAGAGGAAAAGTTCCGATCTACCTGGCTGGGAATGGCATGCCCATAGGGGAGACTGAAGATCTCCTTGAGGATTCCTTGAGAGTAGACTACTTCAATAAATATATCAATGAGGTGCTCAAAGGTAAGAATGGTGGATATGCTGGTGATTGGAAGGTGGGTGGTACTTCTCCAAGTCTTCAGATTTCTGTTTAATGAGACAAAGACAGTCTCCTAAGAAAATGAAGCCAAAAAGTAGTGTTAGTAGTAATAGCATGAGTCCTTCATATCAGCCTCCTAGCTGTTTCCCCCAGAAGCCTCAAGTGTTTGTTCCTATGTTCTTATTCCCTATAATGCCGCCTCCTACACTCTGCCCATTTGAGTCCTATCCATTGATCAAAGACTCATCATCTTTTAACACATTCATTTAACAAATATTTATTCAGTGCCTGTTATGTACTGCACATTGCACAAGACAGTAAGGGTAAAATATTGAGCAAATATCATCTTTTCCCATAGGACCCTCAGAGTTTACAGAGGGTCACAGACAGAAAATTGTAATAAAGGATGCCAATGGCATTATAGGAGGGGACTCCAACCCATTAAATCTTCCCTCGTTGTTCTGGCCACATTCATCTCCATCTCCTTAAGTCAGCTATAAAATCTACATTCCACATCATTCACTTTGATCCCATTAATTCATATCGACTGCACCAGTCTTACCTAACATAGTTTCATACGTCTTTTTAAATTTTTTAAAAGATTTTTTTAATATTTATTTATTTTTGAGAGAGAAAGAGAGTTTAATACTTTTTAATGTTTATTTTTGAGAGAGAGAGAGCACGAGCAGGGGAGAGGCAGAGAGAGAGGGAGACACAGAATCCGAAGCAGGCTTTAGGCTCTGAGCTGTCAGCACAGAGCCCGATGTGGGGCTTGAACTCATGAATCATGAGATCATGATGTGACACAAAAAGCTGTGAGATCATAACCAATTGAGCCACCCAAGCACACCTAAATTTTTTTTATTTTAATTCTAGTATAGTTAACACACAGTGTTATATTTGTTTCAGGTGTACAATATAGTGATCTGACAATTCTATACATTGCTTAGTGCTCATTATGATAAGTGTACTCATAATTTCCTTCACCCATTTAACCCCCCCCCCCTCTCTGGTAACCATCAGTTTGTTGTCTATGGTTAAGAGTCGGCTTCTTGGTTTATCTCTTTTATTCTTTGTTCATTTGTTTTGTTTGTTCCACACATGAATGAAATCATATGGTATTTGTCTTTCTCTGACTTCACTTAGCATTTTATCATCTAGATGCATCCATATTGTTGCAAATGACAAGATTTCATTCTTTTTTATGGCTGAGTAATGTTCTATTATATATAAATACCACATCTTCTTTATCCATTCATCTATTGATGAACACTTGGGCTGCTTCCATAATTTGGTTATTGTAATTAATGCTGCAGTAAACAGAGTGCCTATATCTTTTCAAATTAGTATTTTTGTATTCTTTGTAAATACCCAGTAGTGGAATTACTGGATCACATCATAATTCTATTTTTAATTTTTTTTTTTTTTTGAGGAACCTCCATACTGTTTTCCACAGTGACTACACTAAGTTGCATTCCTACCAATGGTGCATGAGGGCTCCTTTTTCTCCACATCCTCACCAGCACTTATTATTTCTTATGGTTTTGATTTTAGCTATTCTGACAAGCATGAGGTGATATTTCATTGTAGTTTTGATTTGCATTTCCCTGATGATTAGTGATGTTGAACATCTTTTCATGTGTCCTTTGGCCATCTGGATGTCATCTTTGGAGAAATGTCTGCTCGTGTCTTTGGCCCATTTTTTACTTGGTTTATTTGTTTTTTAGGTGTTGAGTTGTATCAGTTCTTTATATGTTTTGGATATTAATCCTTTATTGGATATGTTATTTTCAAATATCTTCTCCCATTCCAGAGTTTGTCTTTTAGTTTTGTTGATTGTTTCCTTCATTGTGAAAAAGCTTTTTATTTTTATATAGTCCCAATAGTTTATTTTTGCTTTTGTTTCCCTTGCCTCAGGACACATATCTAGAAAGATGTTGATATGGCTGATGTCAGAGAAGTTACTGCCCGTGCTCTCTTGTAGGATTTTTACGGTTTCAGATCTCACATTTAGGTCTTGAATCCATTTTGAGTTTATTTTTGTGTATGGTGTAGAAAATTGGTCCACTTTCATTCTTTTGCATGTAGCTCTTCAATTTTCCCAACACCATTTGTTGAAGACTATCTTTTCCCCATATGTCTTTTTATTCCAAGTAAAAAGGAATGGCAAATAATTTTCATCTCCTATATCAGCACTAATCAAGTGATATATGGCTAGTCACCTGCCTAGAGGGCTATACTGAGAAGATTTCAAGGCCTTGTGTAGATTCAGAGAGAAAGAGTTGACTAGCAATACCTACCCTGGGCACTGCAGTTAGGAATGGAGACACCTTAAGGAGTGGAGGCCTCAGTGTTCATGAGGCCAGACACCCTCTCTTTTACTTTGCTTGTGTTCTCAGCATCAAGGGTACAATTCTGTAATCTTCACAATCTTGGAATCCCTCTAGGACATATCTCAAGAGATCTTTGAAACAGCCTTGTGCAGAAAATAGGGGCAGAGATCATCCTCCTGGGACCATTGTGAAAACTGATGCTCTGAGAGATTACATGGTGTGCCCAAACAGCCAGTGAGTGAAACTATAGGCCTTTCTATCACTGGCTCATCAACACCCACTAACCTATGAAGCTTCTATTCATTTTTGTTTCTAGAGCCTTTTACAGCCTGGGACAAAGTAGGTGTTTACTAAATTATTCATTGAATGAATAAATGAATTATATAAAATAAATGAATTGCCAGCCTCTTATATAGCCAATGTTTGTTGAGAGGCTGTGTAATCTGATAAAAATAGGGCTTAATACTTTGCTGGTTCCCAGTTTGAGCCCAAAGCCATTGCTTTACTTTGACACTGTTTTTTGGTTGACTCACTAGATGCTTTTTTTTATTCTCTCACAGTTCTGCAGGCCAGAAGTCCACAATGGAGATGCTGGTAGGGCCACTCTCCCTCCGAAGTCTCCAGAGGAGACTCTTTCCTTGCCTCTTTCAGCATCTGGTGGCTCCAGGCATTTCTTGTCTGTTGGCTGCATTGCCCCAATCTCTGCCTCCATCTTCGTGGAGACCTTCTATCTTTCTCTTTTAAGGGTGCTTGTCATTGGATTTTGGACTCACCCAGTTAATGCCGGATGATCTCATCTTAAGATCCTTAACTTAATTACATCTACAAAGACCTCTTTTCCAAATAAGATTACATAAACTTGTACCAAGTTAAGATTTGGACATATCTTTTTGGGGACCACCATTCAGCTCACTGTACCAGGAAATACCTTACTGTAGGCGTTATTTCTCTTTTTTAAGAGGGGATGTGTGATCATTTTATGTCAGTATTGCTAGACATAAGGAAAAACAAAAGTATATTTTAAATATTAAATGATTTATGCATTCTATAAAAAAACAAGGAATCCTGATAGTAGCAGATGGGACACATGCTTGTATTCATTTTGAGGCAGGGATGGCCTTCTGGATTGAGATTTATGACCATAGATGTGGCCTGATGATTTGTGGGCATCTTGTGGATTCTCTTTTATTCATTCTGAGGAAAAAGGGTTAACATTTTTGGGGTAACTTAAATCCCCTCCAAAACGTGCATATGAAAAGGAAAACCTTTAAATAGCAACATCAGTAACAGAGACTATTTTTATTTTATTTTATTTATTTTTATTTTTTATTTTTGAGAGAGGGAGAGAAAGCATGAGTGCAAGCAGGGGAGGGGCAGAGGGAGAGGGAGAGAGGGAAAGAAGCCAGAGCAGGCTCCATCGTCAGCACAGAGCCCAAGGGTGGGGTTCAGGAGGCTCTCTCCTGACCGACTGTGAGATTGTGACCTGAGCCAAAATCAGGAGTCAGACACTTAACCAACTGAGTCACCCAGGTGCCCCATAGAGATTTGAAAATAATCCAAAGTTTTGTTTTTCTCCATAGCTATCAAGGAGGACTTAGTGGATGTTCGATCTTACATCACTCGTGCCCTCATGGATGGCTTTGAAGGCCCCTTTGGTTACAGCCAGAGGTTTGGACTGTATCATGTCAACTTCAATGACAGCAGCAAGCCAAGGACTCCCAGGAAATCTGCCTACTTTTTCACCAGCATCGTTGAAAAGAACGGTTTCCTCCCCAAGGCCGTAAAGAGACTGCCACCACCCAGTATAGCAAACTTCCCACGTAAAATCAGAGCCTTCACTTTTCCGTCTGATGTGCCCTCCAAAGCTAAAGTAGTTTGGGAAAAGTTCTCCAACCAACCCAAGTTTGAAAGAGATTTGTTCTACCATGGTACTTTTAGAGAGGACTTTCTCTGGGGCGTGTCCTCATCAGCCTATCAGATTGAAGGAGCTTGGAATGCTGATGGCAAAGGCCCCAGCATCTGGGATAACTTCACCCACACACCAGGGAGCAATGTGAAAGGGAATGCCACTGGAGACATTGCCTGTGACAGCTATAACCAACTGGATGCCGATCTGAATATGCTTCGAGCTTTGAAGGTGAAGGCCTATCGCTTCTCTATCTCCTGGTCTCGGATTTTCCCAACAGGGAGAAACAGTTCTATCAACAGACACGGTGTTGATTATTACAACAGGCTGATCAATGGCTTGGTGGCAAGCAACATCTCTCCCATGGTGACACTGTTCCACTGGGACCTGCCCCAGGCCCTCCAGGATATTGGAGGCTGGGAAAATCCTTCCTTGATTGAGTTGTTTAACAGCTATGCAGACTTTTGTTTCCAGACCTTTGGGGACAGAGTCAAGTTCTGGATGACCTTTAATGAGCCCACATACCAGGCATGGTTGGGTTATGGCTCAGGGGATTTTCCTCCAAAGGTGAAAGACCCAGGCTGGGGACCTTACAGAATTGGCCATGCAATCATCAAAGCTCATGCCAGAGTATATCACACTTACGATGAAAAATACAGGCGGGAACAGAAGGGGGTCATCTCTTTGAGCCTCAGTGCACACTGGGCAGAGCCCAAGTCCCCTGAGATCCCGAGGGATGTGGAGGCAGCTGACCGAATGCTGCAGTTCTCACTGGGCTGGTTTGCCCACCCCATTTTCCGAAACGGAGACTATCCCGATGCCATGAAGTGGAAAGTGGGGAACAGGAGTGAGCTTCAACACTTAGCCACCTCCCGCCTGCCAAGCTTCACTGAGGAAGAGAAGAGGTACATCAGGGCCACAGCTGACGTGTTCTGCCTCAACACCTACTCCTCCAGAATTGTGCAGCACAAAACACCCAGGTTAAACCCACCCTCCTATGAAGATGACCAGGAGACAACCAAGGAGGAGGACCCTTCATGGCCTTCCACAGCAATAAACAGAGCTGCACCCTGGGGGACACGAAGACTGCTCAACTGGATCAAGGAAGAGTATGGTGACATACCCATTTACATCACTGAAAATGGAGTGGGGCTGACAAATCCAAAAGTGGAAGATACTGATAGGATATTTTACCACAAAACCTACATCAATGAAGCTTTGAAAGGTATGTGAGAATTCATGTCCCCCTTACAGAATCTTCCAGCATCCATATATCATGTGCCTGACATGGTTTGGCAAAGTGGATTACAAACCATAAACAAGTCTCTCTTAGGCTCTAACTCCATAATTCTTTTCCTGTCGGGGGTTACATATCCCTTTGGAAATCTGAAAAAAAAGCCATGGTCATCTACCCAGATGTACACATACAGAGTCCCCACACAAGTATTTTCATGGGTCCATCCATTCATTATTGAGCAACTACTATGTGGCAAGTTCTATTTTAAGTGCAGTGAACAAAAAGATAACTTTCTGTTAACATGGTGCATATGTTATATTCTGGTGAGTTTCATGCACCCCAGAGCAAGAAAGTCTTTTCTAAAACACATTTCTATGTGTAACTTATACAGTGGGCTGAGACTCTTGATTTCAAGCCTGTCCCTTTACCCCAACAAAAGAATTTGGTTTTGCAAAGATTGGTCATTAATACTTGCTATGAGGGCATCAGTGCTGGCAAAAAAAGAAGGTGCTCTGTCCATCTGGGCATACATTAATTGTGGGTACGAGTAAATGGTTTAGGACTACTGTTTTAAGTGATGTGCCAGTACTTGTCTAGGGTTCTTGAGAACCTCACCCTCCAGGTGTAAAGCTCTTCTCTGCTCACTTTGGAATGTTCCCAGCCTACCGACTCGATGGTGTAGACCTTCGAGGGTATTCTGCATGGTCTCTGATGGACAACTTTGAGTGGCTGAATGGCTACACAGTCAAGTTTGGACTGTACCATGTTGATTTCAATAACACGAACAGGCCTCGCACAGCAAGAGCCTCCGCCAGGTACTACACAGAGGTCATCACCAACAACGGCATGCCGCTGCCCAGGGAAGACGAGTTTGTCTATGGACAGTTTCCCGAGGGCTTCATCTGGAGTGCAGCTTCCGCCGCATATCAGGTGAGAAGTTCGGGGCAGTTCAACGACAGCTATTGCAGACCTACTATGTGCCAGGCTGTGGGCTTGGTGCTAGGAGGGCAGGCAAGAACAGGGGATTGCCACAGACCTGGAGCAGGAAAGTATGGGTGTCGTATACGGAATCTGGGAGGTCCTCTCCACAGATAGACCAGCTTCCTCACATCCCCCAATTCAGGCAGACTCGTGGCTGCTTGGGCTATGCTGAGAGGGACGTAGGCAGGCAAAATGGAGCAGGTGGACCTGGGCACAAACACTTAGGCAGAGACCCGCAAACCAGAAGATTGTCTGCTGGAATATGTTCGTTTCTCACCTAGTCTCTTCCAAGCAGGCAGTTTGCTCAGAATGGCTGTCACGTGGGCCTGGGCTTGTTTTGATGTCCTGGCAGCATCATACTGTAACCTTATTCATGCCCAAATAAGCTCAATAATACAGAAAATACAAGGGTTTTCCTTTTTTCACAGAAAAAGATAAAAAGCAAAGAGTCACTTGCCCAGGCAGCTAGTGGAGGTCCCTGCTTTACATCTTCTGCCTCCATTCATTTTCTTTGAAGAAGGAGTGGAGGCTCTGTGTTCCCTGCGGACCCTGGGCAGAGTCAGTGCTGTGAGCTGACCTGACTCTGGGTGTGCTTGTCCCTTGGGTTTCCTTCTAGTCAGCCACAGCTGCTGAAGATGTTTTTGAAGGGGGTGAGGGTGAGCTCCTCCCAGATGGCTGCACTACCAGGTCACAATGAAGTCTCAGACTAAATTAAGCTATGTCCAGACATTTATTAACTACATGTACAAACACAAAACCTGTTCATGTATCCTATTCTGTAGACTGGAGGAAACCTCCATTCTTGGTCCTCTTCGGTGCTCTGGCCAACACTTTACATGAAAGAAACACTTGAGGACATGCCAGGGTTTCAGAGACAGCGTTCTGTTACTGTTACTGCGGGCAAACAGAGTCCTCTGTAGCAAGGTTTCCCCAATTTGGCCTGATTGACATTTGCATGGATAATTCTTTGTTGTGGGGCTTTCCTGTGCACTGTAGGATGTTAAGCAGCATCCCTGACCTCTACCCACTAGAGGTCAGCAGATTCCTCCCCAAGTTGTAACAACTAAAAATGCCTGTAGACATTTGCTAAATGTCTCTTCGGGGACAAAATATTTCCTGGGTGAGAACCACTATCCACAGGTTTACAGCTGGACACAGGAAGGGTTAGGAATTCATTCTAGGGCACAGGTGGCAGACCTTGTAGGATTCTTAAACACTGTCCATGCAAGGGAAAAGGAGTGTCCTTGAAAAGCTTTTAGCCAACCCACATCTTGAATGATTAAACTGGCATTAGCAAGCACCCATTTCTATTCATTAGACAGCAGGCACAATTGTCACCATTTGAAACATTATGTGGTCTAATTAGCAAAGAGTTAAGTGTGAATCAAGAATTGATTAGAAGGGCTTATACTGTGGCCTTCCTGATTAGATACTACCTGATTGTGCATTCTTTTTTTTTTTTTTTAATTTTTTTTAATGTTTATTTATTTTTGAGACAGAGAGAGACAGAGCATGAACAGGGGAGGGGCAGAGAGAGAGGGAGACACAGAATCTGAAATGGGCTCCAGGCTCTGAGCTGTCAGAGCTGTCAGCACAGAGCCCGTCGCAGGGCTCGAACTCACGGACCGTGAGATCATGACCTGAGCCGAAGTCAGACGCTTAACCGACTGAGCCACCCAGGCGCCCCTATTGTGCCTTTTATTTGGAAATCCTTTTGAACACAGAGAAAAGTTGAAGAAATAGTAGAGGACTCCTGTATATCCTTTTCCCATATTTCTCAACTGTTAAAATTTTACCATTTGCCATATTTTCTGTGTGTATGTGCACACACATATATATAGTATATATATGAAACTGATTTTATCACTTGAATAAGAAAGTGTTTACCAGGTTTCTCTACCATAAAATTAAGTATTTTATAGTTATAAATAATAATTATTTTGTGGGGATCTACTTGGAGACTACATAAATAGCCTTTTCCTCATCAAATTTCACCCGCTAGTTTTAGCAGCTGTTGATAATCTGTGCCTGAATCAGTTATTACTGTGATAGGTGACAAATGGTGATTTTCTAATTTCATGATTCCTCTTATATTTATCAGGGGGCATTCAACAGAAAGGTCAAACTTTGACTTTTCTCATATTTATGCATACTATATAAATATGCATCAGCAGTATGGCTGGATGCAGTCCTATTTTATTCAGTGAGTTATCATATTATTATTTAGATGTCCACATTTTCCACATTTTGCTATGGGGAGTGCCTTTTAGCCAGATCCTGTGTCCTTTTCACATGGCCCATCATTATTTGAGCACTTGCTTAGTTCTTTCTTGTACAAGATGTTCCAGACTCAGCTTATACCTTTTCTGTCCCAGCCCTGTAATCATCCCTTTGTCTAAAGAACCCTTTCTCTTACTGGATAGGGGCGTTTAGAAACCAAGATCTAGGTGCTGGATATGCTCACTGTTACTGGGGTGTCGTCATTCTAGAATTCCTCTAGCTAGGAAATTCACATATATATGCACAAAAACACGTGCACTTGTATGTTATTTCTATATCTACCCCATCTCTATGTGGATTAACAACATTTTTTTAATGTTTATTTATTTTTGAGAGAGAGACAGAGCGTGAGTGGGGAAGGGGCAGAGACAGAGAGAGAGAGAGATACAGAATCCAAAGCAGGCTCCAGGCTCTGAGCTGTCAGCACAGAGCCCAATGCAGGGCTTGAACTCATGAACCATAAGATCATGACCTGAGCTGAAGTTGGACACTTAACCATCTGAACCACCCAGGCACCCCCTATCTCTATGTAGATTTTAAAACATGAGTTCATACTGATACCTCCAAATCCAATCCACAGGCTCGATGCCAGCTTTCCCATTGCCCATATTTATATCTCTTTTCTCCAGTGGTGAAAAATCTAGCTCCTAATAGCCTCAACATGGTTACTTATTTCCTTAATCCCCCTGCATTAACTGATCTCTTGCACTGGTACCTTCCTGCTGGCCCTGAGCCCACTTGCATGGGGCTGTGCAGGCCACACTGGGGTACGTGTTCTTGATCAGGATGCCAGCAATACCTTAGCTCCATCCAGTCACATAACATCATGGTGTATGTGTTATATTGCTTTAAAGTAAATTACAGGGGCATCTGGGTGGCTCAGAATGTTAAGCGTCCGACTTTGGCTCAGGTCACGATCTCACGATTCAGGAGTTCAAGCCCTGCGTCGGGCTCTGTGCTAACAGCTCAGAGCCTGAAGCCTGTTTCAGATTCTGTGTCTCCCTCTTTCTCTCTGCTCCTCCCCTTGTGCTCTGTCTCTCATAAATAAATAAACACTAAAAAGAAGTAAATTACAGAACTTGTACCTATCATACTACCTAAGCCTGTAAGTAGGCATTTGCTTAGTGGCTTATGGTCACTTTCCCTAAAAGGTGGGGGGCGGGGGGAGGGCAGAGGGAGCAGAAGGAGGCACAGAAACTGTGACCCAGGTCCTGATTTGAAATTCTGCCTCCGCAGCTGGCATCAGTGGTATTCGTTTGACTGTGATTGGGGCTGGAGGCATGTGATTGTTCATTCAGACTTTTAGTGCACAGCTGCCATATACCAGACACTGCTACATTAAGTGCTGGGACACCAAGATGAAAGTCACGATGCCTGGGCCTCAGAGTCTCAGGGAAAGTCAGTCAGCAATCCCGTAACTGTGAGATGCAGCGTGACACTGCCAGGATGGACACAAAGTGTGTACAGAAAGCTCTAGGAGTCCAAAAATCAGAGGGTGGCCAGAGAAGTTTCTCAGAGGAGGTGACACTGACATGGGTCCTGACTTGCAGCTCCCCCACTGACAGAAAGGAACTTGTGAGGGCTAGACTGCATGACTTAATTTGACCATGTCTTGTCATCTTGAGATCGAAGGTGCGTGGAGAGCAGATGGCAAAGGACTCAGTATTTGGGACACATTTTCTCACACACCGCTGAAGGTTGGAAATGATGACACCGGAGATGTGGCCTGTGACAGTTATCACAAGATTGCTGAGGATGTGGTTGCCCTGCAGAACTTGGCTGTCTCCCACTATCGCTTCTCCATCTCCTGGTCTCGTATCCTCCCGGATGGAACCACAAAATATATCAATGAAGCAGGCCTCAACTACTATGTGCGGCTCATTGACGCGCTGCTGGCTGCCAACATCAAGCCCCAGGTGAGGTTGGGCCCCAGCCAGGGCATTGGTCAAGTCCACATGGGGGAGCCAGCTGGGCCAGGGAGCTCTTTACTGCATAAACAAAATGCTGTTTTTTAGATTCAGTTTTTGAACTATCAATAAATTCACATGATGCAGAATTTAAAAAGCATTAAGAGTCCACAGTGAAGATTTACCTTCAGTCTCTGACCCCAAGCCATCCAGTTCCCCTCCTTACAGGCAGTCACGTTTGCTAGGTTCTCATGTCTGCCTTTTGCAGAGGCCAGTCAGGAGACCTATACATGTGTGCGTGTTTGATCCTTTCCCCTCTTTTTTCCTAACGGTCACGTACATGCAGTTTGATGCTTGCTTTTAACTAATGGTATTTATTTCTTTTTAAAAAATGTTTATTTATTTATTTTGAGAGAGAGAGAGAGAGAGATGAGGGGAGGGACAGAGAGAGGGAGAGAGAAAATCCCAAGCAGGCTCCCCACTGTCAGTGCAGGGTCCAATTCAGGGCTCAATCCCACGAACCGTGAGATCATGACCTGAACTGAAATCAAGAGTCAGACGCTCAATTGACTTAGCCTCCCAGGTACCCCCCTTTTTTTTAAATAGGCTTCATGCCCACTGTGGACCCCAACATCAGGGTTGAGCTCATGACCCGGAGATCAAGACCTGAGCTAAGATCAAGAGTGGAATGCTTAACCAACTGAGCCCTTCACAGTATTTTTTACACGTATTTCCGCAACCATATGTAGCTTCCCTGTTTATTCTTTTTTTAAAAAAAGTTATGTGGAATTGTTTATATCTTACTTCTTGAATTACTTTTCTGTTAATTAACACTCTTCCCTGTGATGTTTCCAATATTTATCATCTTAACCAATGGTGCAATGAGTAACCACAGGCATACATAATTTTGGGTGGCTCTAAGTTTATCTGTAGGCTGTGGTCCTAGGAGCAGAATTGCTGGGGCAAAAGTGCATGTGTTTTGCAGCCAGGAGTTATTTTTTTTAATGTTTTCACTTATTATTTTTGAGAGAGAGAGTGCATGAGCAGGGGAGGGGCAGAGAGAAAGGGGGACAGAGGATCTGAAGTAGGTTCTGCGCTGACAGCAGATGCAGGGCTCGGACTCACAAACCATGAGATCATGACCTGAGCTAAGTCAGACACACAACCGACTGAGCCACCCAGGCCCCCCAGCAGGAGTTATTATGAGTAATAATACAGAAGCTCACTTGAGAGCTGACTTTGCTGTCACCAAAATTTTAAACTTTTACTTGGGAGCCTAAGAACGTGTCTCCTCTTCACCTGGGCCCTATGTGAGAAAGCGCTGGAGGGCGCTCTTCTATGAAGCTGTGTGTTTCCTCTGCTGTACTGGCTGAGATTACATACTGCAGCCAGAACATGATCTCCACATTACCACTTTTTTTCCCCTCCAAATAAAGTACTATCTGGACTTTTTCCCTCATACCGCTAACGTTGTTAGAGCTAACCAGCCACCTAACACTTACTACCATGAATGCTGAGAGAGAAAATGGCCAGGTGGCTGCCCTGAGAGGACAATGAACTTCATTACACATGATTCAGAACTACATCAGAGAGCAAGTAACTCAAGCTCAAACAATCATATAGCCCTTGCAGGCATGGAGACACTGAAGAAAGGAAAAGCGCTGGGCATGGAAAGCTTCAGGGGGGTGTGGATCCTGAATAGAGAGGAGAAGTGGATGGATGGGTGGGCAGGGGAAGGGCATGCCATGCAAAGGGAGAGACTGGGTCTGGGCTAAAGATGGTTAGTGGCCCAGCACAGACTGAAGACAGTGGACATCTGGCTTAGCCAAGATGGGGTGTGTGAGGGCATCAAGGGGAAGGCCAGGGAACAACAAAGGCCACAAGGACATGGCCCGGAGGCCCATCTCCAGCAAAGTGTTCCCAGCTCCACAGGAAGAACTTCCAGATACACTGGATGAAGTTCATGGGGGATATCCCATTATAAGTGAAATGCTTTCATCCTCCTCCTGGAGCCTCAAAGCCTCGCTTAGTACAGTCTATCCAGGCTGATTCTGAAGCCGCAGCATTTCTGATTCCTGACTGCAACCAGAGCAACACTGAAGAGTGGCCAGGGCGGTGGCCACATGACATAGGCCTCACAGTGATTCCATGACATGCAGGTCTTATTGCCTGAGCCCAAGGTCACAGAGCTGGTAGGTGGCAGAGCCGGGACTCACACCCAGGTTTCTCTGATCCAGATGGGAGTCTCATACTTCAACACAGCTCCCCCCGCACCCCCCCCCCCAAAGAACCTGTGAGCTATTTCATGTTTTCATTCATTCTCCGCTTTCTTGGCATTTGTGCTGGTGCACAACAGCACCAGTGATTTCCCATGGAAGTAGGTTGATGGAACTGCCAGTCTTGCTTTTGCACAGGTGACCATTTACCACTGGGACCTGCCCCAGGCACTCCAGGACATTGGAGGCTGGGAGAATGACACCATTGTGCAGCGGTTTAAAGAGTATGCAGATGTGCTCTTCCGGAGGCTGGGAGACAAGGTGAAGTTTTGGATCACTCTGAATGAGCCCTTTGTCATCGCTAACCAGGGCTATGGCTACGGGACATCAGCTCCAGGTAAAGGTTCTAGGCTCAACTTGTCAGCTCTTTGGAGTGTGGTGTTCTTAGTCTCACCAAGACTTGAAATCCCGGAGGCACTGGAAGAGGAGGCCAAGAAAGCCCTGTGGCGGTGCTTTACAATCGATGCCTCTTGTTCAAGGCTGCCTGACAGGCAGCAGGTTTCCCCTTCTGACACCACTTTTTGCTAAATACGGATTTTACATCTCAGTACTCTCCAAATAGCTTCATTTCTTTGTGCTTTTTTTTTTTTGACTTGCCTCAGATGGGAAGCTTCCCGAGATCAGGGACATGGTCTAATCGGTGTAGGGAAGGACTAGTCATCAGGCTGTACAGGTCCACAGTGTGTTTTCTGCAACTTCAAAATCCAAAAGTTTCCAAGAATTGATTTGGCTGATCTGAGCTCATCCTCACTTGAACCAATATAAGGCTGCTCATGGGCATTATCCCACTTAGTGTCAACATTTCTGCTACGGACACATTTGGCTCCTTGATTACAGAGCGCTCTCCTGGGCCCTGCTAGGGTGATGTGTAAACATGTTATAGGCAACTTATTACTTTTCTAAGACACATAAACCTTGTACTTCCAAACCATATGGACCCTAAGGGTTTCGAATAAGGGATTGTGGACCTGTCCTTGTACCTTTAGAACCATCCAGTTTACCTTTTCTTTAGTTCTGAGCTTAAGAAAATAAATTTGTGTTTATGCAATTCCTTAGGATCACATGTAAAAGCTGAAAAGTGCCACAAATCGTTACCACATTTATCTCCCCTTGATCCTTGGTTGGTGCTTTGGTTTACCATTCCTTCAACTTTCTTCAACACATGAGAGGTGACCTTTCTCACAGCATTCGCTCCCAAGGAATCTGTCATCTGCTTCCATCAGCTACATTGTCCAATGCTCCTTCCACTCTAGTTCCCCATCCGCCAGGATGTCAACTCCCAAGGCACATACTTTGCTGGGTAGTTTGGGACATAGCCACTCTCTGGGGGAGACTTATAGAAACCAACATTTACTAAGTGTCTGCTCACCAGACACAGTGCTGCTTGGTGCTTCACATACACGACCTCATTTCCTTCTTACAAGAACTCTCTAGTGCTCACTTTGCCAAGGAGGAGCCTGAAAGACTGAATTACCCAAAGTTACACAGCCAGCAAGTAAGAAGTGAAGCCAGGATTTGAATTTCCTTCCTCCTGACACCCAGACCTACACTCCCCCAAACATAGAGGCCGTCTATAGGCAGAGAGTGATATTCTTGGCCATGTTCATTCTTCATTGACATCCATGTATGTGTTTCCAGGAATCTCCTTTAGGCCTGGCACTGCCCCCTACGTTGTTGGCCACAACCTAATAAAGGCTCATGCTGAGGCCTGGCATCTGTACAATGATGTGTACCGTGCCAGTCAAGGTGGTGTGATTTCCATCACCATCAACAGCGACTGGGCTGAGCCCAGAGACCCTTCCAACCAGGAGGATGTGGAGGCAGCCAGGAGATACGTTCAGGTCTGTTTTTCCTTTGGTCATTGTTATTACTCTTGCTTGTTTTTCCCTCCTGTCGTGAGCTAATGGAAATAGAATTGGATTACAAAACAAAGATTTAGGTTGAGGACCCTGTTTTTCTGTTACCTTATTTTGTGAACTTGAGAAGATCACTTAGCCATTTTTATACCTTAGTTTCCTCATGTATGAAGTAGAGATGACCTATCCATATCATAGGTTTGCTGTGATCAAAGTTCTTTGGGATTGAGTTTTCTTTTAAGTCTTAAAAAGGATTTGTACACGTCCTTGCTGCATGCAACACTGGCTTGAAGGTAACTAACAGAAATGCCATCTCTTCAATCTCTGGTTTGACTGTAGTAGCTGATAGAGCAGGGCTGCAATGTCACACTTCACCTCTAGGTGTCACCATTTAATTTTATTTACTTGGCCTAAGAATTCCTTGAGTAGGGTGTGAAACTCATTAGTGCCCCTGATCTTACAATTCTGAATTTTAACATAAGGACATGCACCTTTGGTCATGAGATTTTGCTCCTAGGAAGTAGAGTCACTCGTAAGCAGTGGACCATCCTTATTTCAGTGTGAGCCCCTAACATGAGAAAAAAGAATAGCATTTGTCAGGGCACAGCTTTTCCCTGGTTCCTGCTTGTGTCTCTGACAAGATTAGAAAGCACCCTCTCCCATGTTTCAGCATCAAAAACAAGGGTCTCTCTCTCTCCACACTGGTCCCCACTTTTTAAAAAAATTTTTTTAACGTTTATTTTTTTGAGACACAGAGAGAGAGAGAGAGAGCATGAACAGGGGAGGGTCAGAGAAAGAGGGAGACACAGAATCCAAAACAGGCTCCAGGCTCTGAGCTGTCAGCACAGAGCCCAAAGCGGGGCTCGAACCCACGGACCGCGAGATCATGACCCGAGCCAAAGTCGGACGCTTAGCCGACTGAGCCACCCAGGCGCCCCTGGTCCCCACTTTTTAGCTCTGTGGAGGAGCCTGCAGACTGCAGCATTCTGAGGGGACAATATGGGTCTTGTTTTGCCAGACTTTTCACAAGAGAAGTTGGTAATAGAGATCAAATTAATGAATGCAAATATGAGCTTAATTTTCCCATTTGTTAGTCAGCTGGGAAAAAAGTCTTGGAACAAAATTAATGCATCCCTCATTTTAGAGTCACAAAACTGGTAAATTAAAGCAATCATTTTTTCTGAAATCAAAACCCTGAACCTCAGGAAATACTAGGCTCTAATCTCATTAGATTGAGCCACTTGTCGGTGAACTGTGATACACACACACCATAGTAAAATCAGCTTCCATGGAAAGGAATGGCTTGTTACCTAGAGTGTGTGAAGCCTCTTTTGCCAGGGTGTGTGTGTTCCAAAGCCTCCTCTCTGAGAATGGAAGCCTGCCCTCACCCCACATTTCAGGCATCAACCAGCAGGTGAGGGGGAGATGGGGAAAGGTCAAAGAAGCCTCTCAGGACCCCAGGATCATAGCATTCGTGTCCCGTATCCTCCCTGAGGGTAAGGATGACCTAGACCCCATTCAAGAAAATAGGTTGAAAAGTTCCCCAAAAGTTGGATTGACTGTGAATCCAAAGCTCATGAAGAATCATCCTTTGCCTTGGGCAGCCAAGAAAGCCTTGAATTTCAGCCCTCCCCAGAAAGTTCTGGTTGATCCTTAGGCAGGATGATGGGGAAGGGCGGGATTTGTGGTAAGAGGACATCCACAGCCTGGAGGCTTCTGGTCTCTCCTGGTCTTCTGTAGCACCTTGCTAAGGGCAGGCAGGCAGGCAGCATCTATTGAGTCCTGAGGCAGTGCTAAGTGAAGTGCGTCGCCCTTCGAGCTGCAGGGGTTGAGAATGCGGCCCTGCCCCCAAAGTGAGAAGATGTGTGGGCATTTAAGCTGGAACGTGCATGCAGCCACAGAGATGCGGGTTTAAGACTGGGCATTGGGGAGACAGGAGGGTGGTTCCAAGGTCAGTGACTTATGGGCAGGGAAGCTGCTGTCTCCAGGTGTGCCCCCCGCACCCCATTAATGCCAGGCTGTCACCCCAACCCCACCTGCAGTTCATGGGAGGCTGGTTTGCACATCCTATTTTCAAGAATGGTGATTACAACGAGGTGATGAAGACACGGATCCGTGACAGGAGCTTGGCCGCAGGCCTCAGCAAGTCTCGGTAGGTCCTGGTGCCCACACGCTCAGCCGGGGAAGGGTCAGGAGGAAGTCTGGTCTGGGATGCTGAACTGAGGCTCCAGGTGGGCAGCTCAGTGTTCAGTGTGTGGCTGTTGGGGTCGGAGAGCTACTGTATCTCTAAGTTTCCCTGATTGCTGGCAAGACCGAACATGATCGTGTATGTGAAGCTTTCAGCCAAGGACAGGGCTTTGCTACGTGTTTGACAAAAGGTAGATGTGATTATTATTCTGCAGAACAGCCAGGAAATGTGTCCCAGGGGCCCCCACTGCTTAGCTACCCTCTCCCTCACTGCAAGGATGAATTTCTCTGTTTACTAGATCATCATGTTACCAGTGAATGTGAGCAGCAGTGGGTGATGGCCAGCCATGTGCTTTTTGTCATTTGGCCAGTAGGTTGTGATGGTTGCACTAAAGATGTGCTACTTCTGGACCACTCCTCTGTCAAGGGAGTAAGAGCAATATCAACACCTAACATTTATCCTTCTGTTGATGCTCTTAGTCCTATTTAAGGAGGAATAAACTGAGGCACAAAGATCATAGCAAGATTACCCAGCTATTGAAGTGATGGAGTTGGGATTTGAAACCAGGCTGACTCCAGGGCCCACCCTCCAGGTTTGAGAGTCATCTGGCTGGGATTAGAGGTGTGTGTGGAGAGGAACGGAGTGACCTGGCTTTATGGGAATGTACCCTCAAACTCCAAGGGAACTTATGTGACCGTGAGCAGGGGAGGCTAAAAGCAATTCAAGAAGCACGAATTCCTAACCTAGCGTGTTCATCTTTCCCTTATGTAGCCCAGCTGTGCAGGTTACACAACCCAGTCCCCATCCACACAATGCACTCCTGACCTGGTGGGGCCAAGCCTGCTGAGCAGGCTGTGCCTAAAGGTCTGATCTGCCAACTCTGGTCTGTAACAAGCAGGTCAGCCCTCCAGTCCATCAACACGACTCTGCTGGGCACTTACTGTGTGCCCAGGTCAGGGTCAGGCCCAGCAAGGTCCACGTGAGGAGAGGCTTCTCAGTCTGGCTCCTCAAGCTGCCGACACGCCAGCAGGGAAGACGGTGACTTGACCACTCCAAGGAGTTCTCTTCCCTAATTTCTTCATGCAAAGAAAACTCAGAAGAGGAGATTGGGCAGGCCGAGTAGGATAAGGAGACTTTGTGGACAAGGGGGGACATCAGTTAAGCCGGGCCTCAACAACGAATAGCGTGTGGGAGAGCAAAGGGTATTCCATCCGAGGGGAAGGGTGTGAGAACTGGCCCAGAGGGAATGAGTGGGGTACCTGCAGCTGAGAGTTGGGGGGACTGGCCCCAGTGGCAGTGGGGGTGGGGGGCAAGGCCACAGAACAGAGGGCCTAGAGGCCAGACACAGGGGCTCAGCGCTGATGCCACAAAGCCTAAGGAGTCACTACTGGTTCCTGGGCAAGAGAGTGAGGGGGGTGAGGGATCTGGGCTTTAATTTTCTCCCAGTGTTTCAGAAACCCCAGTGAGGGAAGGTTTTGATCTACTAGGTTAACAAGGTAGCACAAATCTTAGGATGAAAGTGTCAGGTGCCCAAGAAGGGTCATCTCTAAGCTAGCATCCTAAATTAGCAGCCCCAGTGTTACCCTGTCAGAGTACGTAAGTAATCAGATTCGGCTGAGAGGAATCTATCGGTGCTGCACCCAAATGCATGTTAGTCACATCTTGTAAAAAGTCTCTGAGTACCTACAGTACATGTGGAAAATGCTCCACCAGATGTTAAAAAAAAAAAAATAGTAAAATCATGTGAGCATAAAAGTCTAAGTCTCAAAAGTTCAATAAATTTTAAAAAATATTTCCCCTGCTAATAAGGATGGACTTTGGAGAAAAGAGGCATGCCTAAACAAACCATAACAAAAACAACAGAGAAACTCAGGGCAGATTATGGAAACACAAATTACAAAAGATACTACAACCTTGAGAACATCAAGGATTAGTCTCAAGGGGTGTTATCTCAGACATGTTGTTGATTTCAAAGATAGTAAATATCTTAGATGGTATTTTATCTCAGATGGTAAATATCAAAGTTGCATGTTAATTTCTGAAGTAAATTAAAATGTATCCATGTATGTGTACATGTATGTACATAATGTCCATGGGGGAGAGGGGGTTGACCCTGAAAGGAAGGTTTGTAAAATGGTCACTGGTAGTTGTTTGTTTTGTTTTTGTTTTTTTGAGAGAAAGAGCACAAATAGGGTATGGGCAGAGACAGAAGGGGACAGAGGATCTCTGCTGACAGCAGAGAGCCTGATGCAGTGCTTGAACTCATGAACTGTGAAATCATGACCTAAGCTGAAAGTCAAATGCTCAACCGACTGAGCCACCCAGGTGCCCCAGTCATGCGTATTTTCATTTGGCCAACAGGAAGAGGAGGGTCTTGCAGGTTTATGGTCTGGAGGGAGGAGCCTCAGGTGCTTTCAGCAGCGGCTGGAAGGACCTCTCCTTGCTCCTGAACAGCTGCCCCCCTCGTCACCACCAGGCCTGTAGTTCAGAGTGCTCCCCCAACCCTGCCCCAGGACGTTCTTTTCCCAAAGCATGATGCTCCAGCCCCACACTCTCAATGTCTCCTTCCCACCAGGCTCCCAGAGTTCACGGAAAGTGAGAAGAGGAGGATCAATGGCACTTATGACTTTTTTGGATTCAATCACTACACCACCGTCCTGGCCTACAACCTTGACTATGCCTCTTGGATCTCTTCCTTTGATGCAGACAGGTAAGTTGGCCAACAGGGCACACAGAACTATCTTTGGAGATGACAGCAGGTGCCCCTTTGCCCAGCCTTACTGCACAGCCTCAGAAAGCCGCCTCCTGGTGCCATACACCCTGGGGTTTAAAGAGGAGTCCACTCCTGTGATACTTAATGAAACCTGTCAGTCTGCTAGTAATACCAGCTAGGATTTCCAGGGTGCTTCCCATGGAGACAGACATGCTTGGAGTTTCTTTCAAACGTTATCAAGATTTTGCGATTTTCTTTCCCTTGGTTTGCTTCTACTGTCAAGTTTGTTTCCCTTGCCAGATGTATTTAAGTCAAAATAATAGGTGTTTTTTTCCCTTTTCGGGGTAAAGGTCAAAAGGGTTATCTTTGCCTTATACAGTCACAGTGGAAACATTAGAAAGCAAGGAGAGGTGTATGTGTAGAGGTATATGACCTCTTTTTCTCTTTATAAATATAATATGTAAGTATATATATTATAAACCATGAGTAAGATATAGTTTGGTAGTATTTATACACAAAAATATATTACCAAAAGCCAGTATTATATGTATATACTCTTTTGTTCCTTTTTTTTTTTTTAAAGATTTTATTTTTAATATCCACCCAACATGGGGCTCGAACCCACAACCCTGAGATCAAGAGTTGCACATTCCACCAACTGAGCCAGCCAGGTGCCCCTATTTTATTCCTTTTATAACAAGCATGTTTCCATCAGCTGTGAATCCATCCAGGTTCTTTGAAAACAAACAGCTACAGCCCCACTGCATCCTGCAACCCCCAGAGTCACTTGCTGAGGGGGGCTGAGAACACTCCCTGCTGGTCCCTGTCTGAGCACCCATTGGACTCTTGCTGCCTCATCAGGCCTTGCACTTGGCCCAGGATGAAATGTCCCGGGTCCAGTTTGGCTGAGCAAGATAAATTCAGTTACTGATTAAGACTATGTTTTTGTGTTTTTTTTTTTCTGAAGGATTTGGACACGAAGATCCAAATAATTGGTCCTTATTTGAAATGTATGACTCTGGAGACATTCAAGTTTCTGTGTTTCCCCCAGCAAATGCTCCTTTAGCACAATCTGTTGCCCTCACCTGGCTCATCACTGAAAAGAGGCAGGGTCTTGGGCATCGGAAGCAGGTCCCAGCCTGTCTGCTCCCTGTTGTCATGTCACACACACTGTTGGTGCTTGTGGCCACACCTGTGGTGTTGACTAGATGTAGTTGACTCAGGGGAGCCCATTCTCTCTCCTGACACAGCATTCACATCCCACTGGAGATTGTGATCAGGGAACCCCAGAGACCTTTCACATCTGTTGTGAAGTATGGTCTATTAACAGAGCGCCTACAGAGGGTCTAGTCCATGAGTAGAGACCATTCTCTGAATAGGTGGAAACAGAGCCGACTTGGCCTGTCAAAGCCACACGGGCATTGAGCAGTACAACTAGGAGAATATGAGGCAATTTGACTATTCTAGGTTTAGTTATGATTTTCAAGTCTAGACTAAACCTAAGGCTTTTCTTAGTATAAATCCTGTTTTGTGTTTTGTGCCAAAGGCCTCTTGGGATTTACAAATTGACACCAAATCTCTCGTGTTTGAACCTATAGAGGAGTTGCCTCCATCACAGATCGTTCTTGGCCAGACTCTGGCTCCTTCTGGTTGAAGGTGACACCTTTTGGCTTTAGGAAGATACTGAACTGGATAAAGGAGGAGTACAACAACCCCCTAATTTACGTAACAGAGAATGGAGTGTCTCAACGTGGAGAAACTGACCTCAACGACACTCTAAGGATCTCCTACCTCCGCAGTTACATCAATGAGGCGCTCAAAGGTAGGGCAGGCCTATCCCTTCCTCCATGTGCACCTTTCACTGTTGGAAACACCTGCTAACGTCTGCAGTGAGAGGAGTACTGCACTCATGAGACCCTGTCATGACAGAGAGGCAGTTTCTCACTCCTGCTGGGTTTAAACTTTTCTCTGAGGCTACACTCCGAGTCTTTTCCTTCCTAGATTTAAGCTCAGCAAGCAAACCCAGTAGCCAGATACAGTGAAGCCTGAATTCCTGGCCAGGGTCATTTCCCTGCTGGATCGTCCCTGAACAGCAGCGCTCTGATGAGGGCAGGGGCTAGGAGGAGTAGGCTGGGGGTGGGCGGGGTGTCTGTTGGGTCTGTTCCCCAAGCAGAAGTTTGAGACCCTCAGCTCAGCAGAACCACCTGGGATGGGACTAGGACAAGGGACTATTTAACCCTGAGTCAAAGACACTGAGCACTGCAGCAATAGAAACAAACAGAAAGTCCTATTCCAGTGAAAATCTTTTCCAAGAGCCACTTACTTTCTTTAGGAAGAAGTATTAACACTCTAAGGCACTGCCCAAGACTGGTATCCCCACATGCAGAGAGAGGATCACAGAGGACTCAGCAGGATTAATGTAGTCTACCCATGTTCCTGACTCCCGTTCAGGGCTGAGCCTTTCTAGAAACATGCTGATGGCTCTGTAGGTCCATCCACAGAGGACCTGCACCTGCAAGTGGGGACTGTGGGCGAGTCGCGGGCAGGCATGGCTTTTGTAGGCCGGGCGGAATGGTGTCCTGTAATACAAAAGGAAGGAAGCTCATGCCGTGGTCTCTGCATTTAAGCAGCTGTGCAGGATAAGGTGGACCTTCGAGGATACACGGTTTGGAGTGTGATGGACAATTTTGAGTGGGCCACAGGCTTCGCAGAGAGGTTTGGTCTGCATTTTGTGAACTACACGGACCCTTCTCTGCCAAGGATCCCCAAAGCATCAGCCAAGCTCTTCGCCTCTATAGTCCGGTGCAACGGCTTCCCTAACCCTGCAGTGGGGCCACACCCTTGTCTCCAGCCAGAAGGTGAGATGTGGCTCGGGGAGGGACTAAAGCCAGAGGGTTAGTGGGGCTTTTTGGTCTATTTTCTTCTACCCTCCTGCCTTTCCATTCCCCTCATTCATTCGACCAGTTTTTTTTTTTTTTTTAATACTTCAGACATTCTTAGGATGGAACAAAGGAACTCAGGGTTAATGTTACCTAGAAAGTAGGCCCTGGTCTGGGAAGAGCAGGTCTAGATTCTTGTCCCAGCCCTACCACTAACTGTGTCGAGACCTTAGGCAAGAAACGAGGCACATGCCACCAGGTTGACATGAGAATCTAATACAATGACTGCAAACAGTGCCTGGCATGATGTAGAGGCCCAATATTTGATGACTGAAAAAGCATAAGTTACTATAGAAAAGAAAGAGATAAGTATCCATTTTAATTGTTCACAGATTTTTAAAAAATACAAGTACTTCATTCAGAGGTTCAGTAACTCAGTGAAAGGGACGCATCCCATCACCTCAGCAATGTGCTCACTCTGGATACCTGTGTGACTTATCTATTCCAAGGATCTAGCTTGTGCTTAATAAAGGTTAACACTGATCTGATGACTACATCATCTGCCCTTTGTTGTCCTCTCCTAGATGCTGGACCTACCGTCAGCCCCATTCAGGAGGAGGAAGTTCAGTTCCTGGGGTTAACACTAGGTGTGACGGAAGCCCAAACAGCTTTGTATGTACTCTTTTCTCTTGTGATTCTTGGCGTCTGCTGTGTGACATTTCTGTCATACAAGTACTGTAAGCGCTCCAAGCAAGGGAAAACACAACCAGGCCAACAGGAATTGAACACTCTTTCTGCATTCTGACCCATGAGTTCCCACCTACTCCAGTTCTGCAAAACAAATCTAGTTTGTATGCCTTCGCTGCCCACAAAACTCCCTAGGATCTTCTGCCCATAGCAGACTTCTTCATGAAGGCCTTCTGCACTGTTGGAGACTAATCTTGAAGGCTCTCTAGTCCCTAATGAAAATGGAAATATCTGCATCCTGTCCCAGTATCAGGAATTCATTAAGGTATTGAAGACCCTGAGCCATGCAGAGGTGCAGGCACTGAACTCATCTGGTGGGTCTGTGAGCCACTTAATTTAACTGGGCTGTTTTAAGGTTCAGAAACTTTAAAGGTGGAAATATGAGTAAAAACTAGAGCAGTCCTTTAAACAAGAAATCAACTCCACTGTGTAGATGGACTCCAATGTCATCTCCTGCCCTGTCTTCAGACTCCCTCTCAGCCTCATACCTTGTGTTGCTCAGAAAAGAAAAATGGTACTGTGAGCTGTGTCCTAGGTCCTATGGCTGCTTCTCCTTGAGAGGGGAGGTTCCACAGAAGGTATGCAGTCACACAAGCTCTCTGGGGCTTCTAAGCTTTTCCACCAGATCAAGGCTTTCTGCTTACATTATATATTCCACTGGCAGAGACCCTAACATACAAAAAAAGATGACCTCTGAATGATCCTTTATCCCCATCATAGCCACCTTTTTGTCTTTCTTGTCTCTCCCCTGTCCAGGACTACTTCTAAGGACCCAAGTATGGCTTACAAGGCCCAGGTGATCTGCCCTCAGTTCACTTAGCCTGTTTCCTTTCTTCCTCTCTCAGTCTGTGATAATTCTGAACCTCGTGTAAGTCCTTGACTAGCTCATCTTCCTTTGTGTATTTGCAAATAGCATTCTTCTCCCTAGGATGCCCTTTCTCCTGAAATGCCTTTAAGTCTCAGTGCAAATAATGCATTTTTCCCTCAGCACAGCTTCCCTGAATCCCCAAAACACTTCTCCCTTTACTTGGCTTGTAAATACCCCCTATTACAGCTAGTCCATGTTATGCTGGATATGCATATTTCTCTACTCTCAGCTTCTTGAGGATAAAGGACCATGTCTCACTGTCTCTAGCAAGCACATTTTGGAGATCAGGCATAGAAAGCACACCTGATCCTTTTGTGTGTTTATTTACAAAACACACCCAGAGTAGTGGTGGGAGTACAGGAAGATGTGGTCTTTATCAGTTCTCCTCAAATATGCTAATAATAATAAGATAATCTCAGTATAGAATACTTTAAAACCTATTTGGTCTATACATTCTTTCTAGATATCTTGGAGAATGTTATTTAAAAATAAAGTGTGGTTTTCAACTAGATTTAAAAAAGTGATTACGGGATGGCCTGGCTGGCTTGGTTGGTAGAGCATGCAACTCTTGATCTCAGGGTCATGAGTTGAACCCCACATGTGGGGTGGAGTCTACTTTAAATAAATAAATAAATAAATAAATAATAAATAAATAAATAAATAAATAAGTGATCATACCTGAAATTTTGTTTCTTGTAGGCATTCTTTCCCTGAATTTGGTGTATCCGTAGAAAATTCCTATCCAATGTTTCACTGCCAGGGGCCCCAACCTGACAATTTGTGGTATACAAGCATTTTTCTCCGAGGGTAAAGACGGTTCTAAAACTGATATTAAAAATACTTCTTAGGCAGAAAGACTCAGTATTATATAAGTGGTCAATTATATCTAAATCTTAAATTCAGTGTTACTTTTTTGGGGACAAAAAATGTATAAAGAGCCAGAATAATCTGGGCAAAAAAAGAATACCAAAACATTATGAAGTTAGTTGTCAAAAACAGCTTGGTAGCAGAGGGAGAAAAGAGCAACAGAAGAAGAGAGTATATAATAAACCAACTACACGTGAGCATTAAGTACATGACAACGATGGCATGCCACATTAGGGGGGGAAATGGGAGTAGTTCATAAATGGTGGTGGGGTCAAGAGGTTAGCTCCTGAGGATGTTAGCCACAGGGAAGGCTAGCAGAATACTAGGACAGCTGGGTGATTTTTTTTAAATTAATTTTTAAAGAAAGGTATTGATAAGCAAGACTTAGGACCCAGAGACCATCAAGAAAAACACCGATAAATCTGATCACATGAATATTGTGGCAAAAACTTAACAACCAACATACTCGTCAAAAGATAAAAGAGGGAATAATATTTATAGCATATGCTAGACAAAGGGCTATTTTTCCTTATATACACGGAATTTTTAAAAATCAATGAAGATGAAAAAATAAAAATTGGCAAATACAGGCATTTCTCAGAAAATTGAAGTAACCAATATTAAAAGATGTCCCACCTCATTTGTGATCAACACAATGCATATAATTTTTCATCTACCACGGATAAAGATGAAAAAGTGTAACAGTGTTGGTAAGAATGTGGGGAAATCAACATTCTCAGTCACTGCTGGTGGGAGGCTAAATTCCAAGAACCTTTAAAGAAGGCAATCTGGCAGCATCACTTACAATTCAAAATTACAAATACTCAATGACTCAATTATCCAAACATATCCTACAGATATATTTTCACAGCTAAGAAGACAGATACCGTCCCAAAGATGCTCACTATAGCAATATTTCTAATAGAAAAACAAAAACAAAACCCTGTAATAACCAATGGATGCCACCAGAAAATGGATGGTTAAGTTAGCATATATTTATAAGTAAGCTGCTACGCAGCGATTAATAATGAGAATGAGGTAGTTATGTGTTGACAGGGAAAAGATCTTCAAGACTGTGTAAGTAAAGGAGCAAGATACAGAACATATAATATTGTTACAAAATAAAGATCACATTATTTGCTTGTATATGCATAAAGTTTTTCTGTAGATTACAAAATGTGACTAGAGGTTACCTCTGGGGAATAGGACTGGGGGTAAGATGCAAGGAAAGATACTACATTTTCATCTTACAGCCTTCTATATACTGTTTTGAATTTTTTTACCAAATACACTTTTTAAAATATAAAACTGAGGAGGGATCCTCCTACTCAAAGATAATGAACCATTCTTTTATGTGTTTCTCTGAGATCTATATTGAACTTTTTTCAAGGCAAACTGACCTGAGATACTCCAAGTTTCTATAAGTATATTTCTAATAGTTACTAGCAGGGTCACACCCATTTGAAAGATTTTGGTTTTTTAAAATCACGTATTGCTATATATTAAGATTACAAACCTTTACTCCAATGGGATGCTTAGTGGAAATTTTTCTTTTTTCAACCTCACTTTTTAAGTTATGCAAGTAATACGATCATTGCAGAAAATCAGAAAATCATGAAAACCTACTAGGGTGCAAAAAGAATTAAAAGCACATAGAACACTCCTACTATTGTTAATGTTTGTCTGTTTTCTTTACATTATGTTAATATGTGTACTGTCTATTTCAAAGCTGAGATCACAACATACCTACAACTCTGTATTCTGCTGTTTTCTCCTAACACATAACAGGTACTCAATGACTATACAGATGTTACACTGAATTGATAAATATTGTACCATTTATCCTTATCAAAAGTTAATTATTTCTGCACAAGGCATTTAGTTGGTATAAGACTTAATGAGTATGTGTCTACCTAAACTTTGTCTACATTTATGATCATTCCTTAGAAAACCTGATCAAGGAATTTGAAACATTTAAGGTGCCGATGTTTTCCAGAAAGTGTATAACCAGTCTTCATTCTTCCCAACATGACTGCCTGGCTGTTTCCTTGACAACAGTATTACCATTTTTACAACTAACTGTATTTCATAGGTAAAAAACAAAATTTTCTAAGAATATTTCTTCCTCCCATTACAAAATTAAGTCAGTCTGTATCTTCACTCAAAAGCACTGACTTCTAGTCTAAAAATGGAAGGTTAAAAAAAGAACTGTCAAGTGTACTCTCTTTTTCAAATATCATGAATTTAGTGCTCTCTAATACCAAAAACATAGGGATGAATTATCATATAAGTCAGGTTAAGAATCTCTTTAAAATTCTGGGGCGCCTCGGTGGCTCAGTCGGTTAAGTGTCCAACGTTGGCTCAGGTCATAATCTTGCAGTTCGTGAGTTTGAGCCCCGTGTCAGGCTCTGCACTGACAGCTTGGAGCCTGGAGCCTGCTTTGGATGCTGTGTCTCCCTATTTCCACCCCTCCCCGGCTCACTCTCTCCCTCAAAAATAAACATTAAACAAACAAACAAAAAAAGAATCTCTTTAAAATTCTTAAGAATAACCAGGGGTGCCTGTGTGGCTCATTTTGGTTGAACTTCCACCTCTTGATTTTGGCTCAGGTCATGTTCTCACAATTCATGGGTTCAAGCTCCCATGTCAGGCTCTGCATTGATAGCATGGAGCCTGTGTCTGCTTGGGAATTCTCTGTCTCCCTCTCTCTGCTACTCCCCCACTCACTTGTGTGTACACTTACTCACAAATAAACGTAAAAAAATATTTTAAAAAATTCTTAAGAATAACTAAATGAGGGGTGCCTGGGTGGTTGGCTCAGCTGGACCTCTCAATTTCAGCTCAGGTCATGATCTCATGGTTTGTTGGATGGAGCCTCATGTGGGGTGTCTGTGATGACACCACAGAGCCTGTTTGGGATCCTCTCTCTTTCTCTCTGCCACTCCCCCAATCATGCTCATTCTCTCTCAAAATAAATGAACTTAAAAAAAAAAAACTGAGGAAAAGGCCTATCTTTATTCCATACTTCTTGTCCTACAGAGGTACTTTAGATCTGTGAAATTTGTCCAGAGCAAAACTTCACAATAAAGGTGAGAGACTAGTTGTAATTTAAGAGCTGTTTTGCATCTGATGAGAACATGGAAGGTAACATTAAGCAAACAACGTGATGGCTCACTGACAGGATGGACACTAACACGGCATCAACATTTATCAGAAAATTTCTTCCTTCACTGATAATTAAAGTAGGGTGGTCATAGCTACTTTCCCAACTTAGCTCCAGGGCAGTACTGGCGGGAAAAACTCACACACGTGATCTCAAGAGATCCCTCCATGACAAAAAGATGCTAAGATACCAAAACTTAAAGCAAAACTAAAATCATTTCGATTTTTGGAAAAGATTTTTTTATTCAGTGTTTAAGATTAAAAACTACAAGATTTTGCTTGCAGCTGATGAGCAAAAAGAGAAAAATTAAACATAAATTATCATCTGA